AGGTTGTGTGTCTGGGTTGTCTAGGTTGTGTGGGTTGTCTATTGGTTGTCTGGGTTGTATAGGTTGTCTGGGTTGTATAGGTTGTGTGTCTGGGTTGTATAGGTTGTGTGTCTGGGTTGTATAGGTTGTGTGTCTGGGTTGTATAGGTTGTGTGTCTGGGTTGTATATGTTGTCTGGGTTGTATAGGTTGTGTGTCTGGGTTGTATAGGTTGTGTGTCTGGGTTGTATAGGTTGTGTGTCTGGGTTGTATAGGTTGTGTGTCTGGGTTGTATATGTTGTGTGTCTGGGTTGTATAGGTTGTGTGTCTGGGTTGTATAGGTTGTGTGTCTGGGTTGTATAGGTTGTGTGGGTTGTATAGGTTGTGTGTCTGGGTTGTATAGGTTGTGTGTCTGGGTTGTATAGGTTGTGTGGGTTGTATAGGTTGTGTGGGTTGTATAGGTTGTCTGGGTTGTATAGGTTGTGTGTCTGGGTTGTATAGGTTGTGTGGGTTGTATAGGTTGTGTGTCTGGGTTGTATAGGTTGTGTGTCTGGGTTGTATAGATTGGTTGTTGTCTGGGTTGTATAGGTTGTGTGTCTGGGTTGTATAGGTTGTGTGTCTGGGTTGTATAGGTTGTGTGTCTGGGTTGTATAGGTTGTGTGTCTGGGTTGTATAGGTTGTGTGTCTGGGTTGTATAGTTGTGTGTCTGGGTTGTATAGGTTGTGTGTCTGGGTTGTATAGCTTCTCTGGGTTGTATAGGTTGTGTGTCTGGGTTGTATAAGTTGTGTGTCTGGGTTGTATAAGTTGTGTGTCTGGGTTGTATAGGTTGTGTGTCTGGGTTGTATAGGTTGTGTGTCTGGGTTGTATAGGTTGTGTGTCTGGGTTGTATAGGTTGTGTGTCTGGGTTGTATAGGTTGTGTGTCTGGGTTGTATAGGTTGTGTGTCTGGGTTGTATAGGTGTGTCTGGGTTGTATAGGTTGTCTGGGTAGTATAGGTTGTGTGTCTGGGTTGTATAGGTTGTGTGTCTGGGTTGTATAGGTTGTGTGTCTGGGTTGTATAGGTTGTCTGGGTTGTATAGGTTGTCTGGGTTGTATAGGTTGTGTGTCTGAGTTGTATAGGTTGTGTGTCTGGGTTGTATAGGTTGTGTGTCTGGGTTGTATAGGTTGTCTGGGTTGTATAGGTTGTCTGGGTTGTATAGGTTGTGTGTCTGGGTTGTATAAGTTGTGTGTCTGGGTAGTATAGGTTGTGTGTCTGGGTTGTATAGGTTGTGTGTCTGGGTTGTATAGGTTGTGTGTCTGGGTTGTATAGGTTGTGTGTCTGGGTTGTATAGGTTGTGTGGGTTGTATAGGTTGTCTGGGTTGTATAGGTTGTCTGAGTTGTATAGATTTTGTGTCTGGGTTGTATAGGTTGTCTGGGTAGTATAGGTTGTGTGTCTGGGTTGTATAGGTTGTGTGTCTGGGTTGTATAGGTTGTGTGTCTGGGTTGTATAGATTGTGTGTCTGGGTTGTATAGGTTGTGTGTCTGGGTTGTGTGTCTGGGTTGTATAAGTTGTGTGTCTGGGTTGTATAGGTTGTGTGTGGGTTGTATAGTTGTGTGTCTGGGTTGTGTGTCTGGGTTGTATAAGTTGTGTGTCTGGGTTGTAGGTTGTGTGTCTGGGTTGTGTGTTGTATGGTTGTGTGTCTGGGTGTATGTGTGTCTGGGTTGTATAGTTGTGTGTGTGTATAGGTTGTGTGTCTGGGTTGTATAGGTTGTGTGTCTGGTTGTTAGGTTGTGTGTATGGGTTGTTGTGTGTCTGGGTTGTATAGGTTGTGTGTCTGGGTTGTATATATTTGTGTGTCTGGGTTGTGTGTGTCTGGGTTGTATAGGTTGTGTGTCTGGGTTGGTTGTGTGTCTGGGTTGTATAGTTGTGTGTGTGTCTGGGTTGTATAGGTTGTGTGTCTGGGTTGTATAGGTTGTGTGTCTGGGTTGTATAGGTTGTGTGTCTGGGTTGTATAGGTTGTGTGTCTGGGTTGTATAGGTTGTGTGTCTGGGTTGTATAGGTTGTGTGTCTGGGTTGTATAGGTTGTGTGTCTGGGTTGTATAGGTTGTGTGTCTGGGTTGTATAGGTTGTGTGTCTGGGTTGTATAGGTTGTGTGTCTGGGTTGTATAGGTTGTGTGTCTGGGTTGTATAGGTTGTGTGTCTGGGTTGTATAGGTTGTGTGTCTGGGTTGTATAAGTTGTGTGTCTGGGTAGTATAGGTTGTGTGTCTGGGTTGCATAGGTTGTGTGTGTGGGTTGTATAGGTTGTGTGTCTGGATTGTATATGTTGTCTGGGTTGTATAGGTTGTGTGTCTGGGTTGTATAGGTTGTGTGTCTGGGTAGTATAGATTTTGTGTCTGGGTTGTATAGGTTGTGTGTCTGGGTTGTATAGGTTGTGTGTCTGGGTTGTATAGGTTGTCTGGGTTGTATAGGTTGTGTGTCTGGGTTGTATAGGTTGTGTGTCTGGGTTGTATAGGTTGTGTGCCTGGGTTGTATAGGTTGTGTATCTGGGTTGTATAGGTTGTGTGTCTGGGTTGTATAAGTTGTGTGTCTGGGTTGTATAGGTTGTGTGTCTGGGTTGTATAGGTTGTGTGTCTGGGTTGTATAGGTTGTCTGGGTTGTATAGGTTGTCTGGGTTGTATAGGTTGTGTGTCTGGGTTGTATAGGTTGTGTGTCTGGGTTGTATAGGTTGTGTGTCTGGGTTGTATAGGTTGTGTGTCTGTTGTATAGGTTGTGTGTGGGTTGTATAGGTTGTGTGTGGGTTGTATAGTTGTGTGTCTGGGTTGTGTGTCTGGGTTGTATAGGTTGTGTGTCTGGGTTGTATAGGTTGTGTGGGTTGTATAGGTTGTGTGTGTTGTATAGGTTGTCTGGGTTGTATAGGTTGTGTGTCTGGGTTGTATAGGTTGTGTGTCTGGGTTGTATAAGTTGTGTGTCTGGGTTGTATAGGTATTGTGGGTTGTATAGGTTGTGTGTCTGGGTTGTATAGGTTATGTGTCTGGGTTGTATAGGTTTTGTGTCTGGGTTGTATAGGTTGTGTGCCTTGGTTGTATAGGTTGTGTGTCTGGGTAGTATAGGTTGTGTGTCTGTTGTATAGGTGTGTCTGGGTTGTATAGTTGTGTGTCTGGGTTGTATAGGTTGTGTAGGTTGTATGTGTGTCTGGGTTGTATAAGTTGTGTGTCTGGGTTGTATAGGTTGTCTGGGTTGTATAGGTTGTGTGTCTGGGTTGTATAGGTTGTGTGTCTGGGTTGTATAAGTTGTGTGTCTGGGTTGTATAGGTTGTCTGGGTTGTATAGGTTGTCTGGGTTGTATAGGTTGTGTGTCTGGGTTGTATAGGTTGTGTGTCTGGGTTGTATAGGTTGTCTGGGTTGTATAGGTTGTGTGTCTGGGTTGTATAGGTTGTGTGTCTGGGTTGTATAGGTTGTGTGGGTTGTATAGGTTGTGTGTCTGGGTTGTATAAGCTGGGTGTCTGGGTTGTATAGGTTGTCTGGGTTGTATAGGTTGTATGGGTTGTATAGGTTGTGTGTCTGGGTTGTATAGGTTGTGTGTCTGGGTTGTATAGGTTGTGTGTCTGGGTTGTATAGGTTGTCTGGGTTGTATAGGTTGTGTGGGTTGTATAGGTTGTGTGTCTGGGTTGTATAGGTTGTGTGTCTGGGTTGTATAGGTTGTGTGTCTGGGTTGTATAGGTTGTGTTGTGTGTGTGGGTTGTATAGGTTGTGTGTCTGGGTTGTATAGGTTGTCTGGGTTGTATAGGTTGTGTGTCTGGGTTGTATAGGTTGTGTGTCTGGGTTGTATAGGTTGTGTGGGTTGTATAGGTTGTGTATCTGGGTTGTATAAGTTGTGTGTCTGGGTTGTATAGGTTGTGTGGGTTGTATAGGCTGTGTGTCTGGGTTGTATAAGTTGTGTGTCTGGGTTGTATAGGTTGTGTGTCTGGGTTGTATAGGTTGTGTGGGTTGTATAGGTTGTGTGGGTTGTATAGGTTGTCTTGGTTGTATAGGTTATGTGGGTTGTATAAATTCTGTCTGAGATTATTCACGTTTCCGATTGTTTGAGGTTAATAGGCTTTTACACCTTAACAAACAGATTGTGTGTCTATTGACCAGCCGTCTTTCACTCTACAGACCAAAGGATACCGATAAGGACAATGACTCCAACTGTACCGGGCCCTACCTAATAAAATCAGTAGTTCTTCCGTCAAACAGTACTGTCTGTAATATCCGTCTATCACACGAATTCACTGTTACGGAGAATTCAACAAGAAGGAAGCAGACAAATCATTGTTACATAAATGTCTGAAAGATGAAAACACCGTAAATGTAACCACCTGTTAAGCTATCGCTGGAACTCAAACGAGAGAGCAGAGATTCGTGAGTTTCCAATGGCGCTTTGTCTGAATTCGTACAATTGAAGGGACATTACTCTTACATGAATACGTACGTTTTGAGAGCCAAAGGTAATCTGTCCGCATCGTATCTAGTAAAAACAATGTAAGGAAATGTGCTACAACTTGCAGTATCTAAAGTCGTGACATCGGCCCGATATCTATAAATAACATATTGAAATCGGAAATCATCGAACGCCCTCTAGAGGAGATAAGTGAACTAAGACGTGCTGTCAAGACCTTTTACAGGACGTTAATGTGACTTTATACAGCAGATGAAAAAATTGTTCACCTCGATTTAGTTAAGTCACGTGACAGATGTTATATTGATATTTCTGAATTCATTAAGTTACTTTAGGGTGTCTTGGATTCAAAATTGATTATGAATAGAAAAAAACGAAAAAGTTCGCCATGATGGATTTTTCAATCTCTTTGTGTATACTGTGAAATGCGGTAAAATTGATGTCTGGTGTGAGTATATGGTGAAATGCGGTAATGTTGATGTCTGGTGTTAGTATATGGTGAATTATGCTCATTCGTAATATCTGGTGCCTGTATACGATGAATTACGGTAATTTTTATATCGATATAACTGAGAGTAGACATGTACACAATAGATAATGTAACGATGTTACATGTATTGTGTGGAGCGTTTCTATTTGTAACGGTATACACGGAGTCCCGTGGGGCCGGAATACAGCGGTCGGATTCCAAGGACTGTCCATTCCCCTGTACCCAGGGAGGTGTTCATTACTGCTATCCTTTACCTTGTCCTCTCCCACCCTGCTCCAATCCTGTAACTACCCCAGGGGAATGCTGTCCTCACTGTCCTAGCATTACAGGTAAGATCGTGACGTCATTACGTTGTTATTAGTACTAATATAACACGTCATTACTATTACTGACGTCACCAAAAAGTCATTACTATTACTGACGTCACCAAAAACGTCATTACTTGTACTGACGTCACCAAAACGTCATTACTTGTACTGACGTCACCAAAAAACGTCATTACTATTACTGACGTCACCAAAAACGTCATTACTTGTACTGACGTCATCAGTAGCCACTTTCCATTCTTACCGCTGTACGGATATTGGTGACAGAATTTATTCATAAAATAATAAAAGTCAATTATTCGTTACGATATTGCAATATTGTTTACAAATTTTGTTGCAGAAAACATCTAATTCGTCTAGATATACAGTAATTTGATGAATTTAAAAGACAAATTTATACATCGCTCTGTTGTAATTTACAATTTAATTTGCTAATTATCACCAAAATATTATTCAAACTTTTGATATGATTTTTTTTCTTTTATGAATGCCATAAGCGTTTTTTTTTTTCTTTATTTAAAAACCCCTTGTTTTGTTGCCTAGTTTACCAAACCACGGGAACAAATCTTTGATTTATGGTGGTTGGAAAGGCTTGATAATAAACTCTGTAAACTCGTCTCAGTTTGGTCACTAACGCTACCATGTACGATGGTGAAGGACTGACATTACGATAATAATACAAAACAAACGGACTGTGCCATGACCCGAGAACTTTGAAACGCGAGGACGACAAAATTGTGACCGCTAGTCTAAAGACCATCAATTGATATCACCTCATTAAGAAAAATGGTGTTTAATATTATTATTGTCAGAAATAAGCAATAAATAATAAAGAAAGAAAAAACAGAAAAAAAAACCCCGGAAATATAACAACATCAGAGACCTTAAAGTTTCTTTTGATTTTGTGTCCAAGTTTTCGTCATCATGTTATTTTGGATCTTTAGCGGTCACTTACTGCTGTTTCCTGTTATTTTGGATCTTTGACGGTAACTTACTGCTGTTTCCTGTTATTTTGGATCTTTGGCGGTCACTTACTGCTGTTTCCTGTTATTTTGGATCTTTGCTGGTAACTTACTGCTGTTTCCTGTTATTTTTATCTTTGCCGGTAACTTACTGCTGTTTCCTGTTATTTTGGATATTTGACGGTGATTTACTGCTGTTTCCTGTTATTTTTTTATCTTTGCCGGTAACTTACTGCTGTTTCCTGTTATTTTGGTTATTTGCCGGTAACTTACTGCTGTCTCCTGTTATTTTTATCTTTGGCGGTATTTTACTGCTGTTTCCTGTTATTTTTTATCATTGACCGTAACTTGCTGCTGTTTCCTGTTATTTTGGATCTTTGACGGTAACTTACTGCTGTTTCCTGTTATTTTGGTTATTTGCCGGTAACTTACTGCTGTTTCCTGTTATTTTTATCTTTGGCGGTAACTTACTGCTGTTTCCTGTTATTTTGGATCTTTGACGGTAACTTACTACTGTTTCCTGTTATTTTTATCTTTGACGGTAACTTACTGCTGTTTCCTGTTATTTTGGATCTTTGACGGTAACTTACTGCTGTTTCCTGTTATTTTGGATCTTTGACGGTAACTTACTACTGTTTCCTGTTATTTTTATCTTTGACGGTAACTTACTGCTGTTTCCTGTTATTTTGGATCTTTGACGGTAACTTTCTGCTGTTTCCTGTTATTTTGGATCTTTGACGGTAACTTACTGCTGTTTCCTGTTATTTTGGATCTTTGACGGTAACTTACTGCTGTTTCCTGTTATTTTGGATCTTTGACGGTAACTTACTGCTGTTTCCTGTTATTTTGGATCTTTGACGGTAACTTACTGCTGTTTCCTGTTATTTTGGATCTTTGACGGTAACTTACTGCTGTTTCCTGTTATTTTTATCTTTGTCGGTAACTTACTGCTGTTTCCTGTTATTTTGGATCTTTGACGGTAACTTACTGCTGTTTCCTGTTATTTTGGATCTTTGACGGTAACTTACTGCTGTTTCCTGTTATTTTGGATCTTTGACGGTAACTTACTGCTGTTTCCTGTTATTTTGGATCTTTGACGGTAACTTACTGCTGTTTCCTGTTATTTTGGAGTTTTGACGGTAACTAACTTACTGCTGTTTCCTGTTATTTTGGATCTTTGCCGGTCACTTACTGCTGTTTCCTGTTATTTTGGATCTTTGACGGTAACTTACTGCTGTTTCCTGTTATTTTGGATCTTTGACGGTAACTTACTGCTGTTTCCTGTTATTTTTATCTTTGGCGGTATTTTACTGCTGTTTCCTGTTATTTTTTATCATTGACCGTAACTTGCTGCTGTTTCCTGTTATTTTGGATCTTTGACGGTAACTAACTTACTGCTGTTTCCTGTTATTTTGGATCTTTGCCGGTCACTTACTGCTGTTTCCTGTTATTTTGGATCTTTGACGGTAACTTACTGCTGTTTCCTGTTATTTTCGATCTTTGGCGGTAACTTACTGCTGTTTCCTGTTATTTTTTATCTTTGCCGGTAACTTACTGCTGTTTCCTGTTATTTTGGATCTTTGACGGTAACTTACTGCTGTTTCCTGTTATTTTGGATCTTTGACGGTAACTTACTGCTGTTTCGTGTTATTTTGGATCTTTGACGGTAACTTACTGCTGTTTCCTGTTATTTTGGATCTTTGACGGTAACTTACTGCTGTTTCCTGTTATTTTGGAGTTTTGACGGTAACTTACTGCTGTTTCCTGTGATTTTGGATCTTTGACGGTACCTTACTGCTGTTTCCTGTTATTTTGGATCTTTGACGGTACCTTACTGCTGTTTCCTGTTATTTTGGATCTTTGACGGTAACTTACTGCTGTTTCCTGTTATTTTGGATCTTTGACGGTAACTTACTGCTGTTTCCTGTTATTTTGGATCTTTGACGGTAACTTACTGCTGTTTCCTGTTATCTTTGACGGTATTTACTGCTGTTTCCTGTTATTTTGGATCTTTGACGGTAACTTACTGCTGTTTCCTGTTATTTTGGATCTTTGACGGTAACTTACTGCTGTTTCCTGTTATTTTTTATCTTTGACGGTAACTTACTGCTGTTTCCTGTTATTTTGGATCTTTGCCGGTAACTTACTGCTGTTTCCTGTTATTTTGGATCTTTGACGGTAACTTACTACTGTTTCCTGTTATTTCTATCTTTGACGATAACTTACTACTGTTTCCTGTTATTTATCTTTGGCGGTATTTTACTGCTGTTTCCTGTTATTTTTTTATCATTGACCGTAACTTACTGCTGTTTCCTGTTATTTTGGATCTTTGACGGTAACTTACTGCTGTTTCCTGTTATTTTGGATCTTTGACGGTAACTTACTGCTGTTTCCTGTTATTTTGGATCTTTGACGATAACTTACTGCTGTTTCCTGTTATTTTGGATCTTTGACGGTAACTTACTGCTGTTTCCTGTTATTTTGGATCTTTGACGGTAACTTACTGCTGTTTCCTGTTATTTTGGATCTTTGACGGTAACTTACTGCTGTTTCCTGTTATTTTGGATCTTTGACGGTAACTTACTGCTGTTTCCTGTTATTTTGGATCTTTGACGGTAACTTACTGCTGTTTCCTGTTATTTTTATCTTTGACGGTAACTTACTGCTGTTTCCTGTTATTTTGGATCTTTGACGGTAACTTACTGCTGTTTCCTGTTATTTTGGATCTTTGACGGTAACTTACTACTGTTTCCTGTTATTTTTATCTTTGACGGTAACTTACTGCTGTTTCCTGTTATTTTGGATCTTTGACGGTAACTTACTGCTGTTTCCTGTTATTTTGGATCTTTGACGGTAACTTACTGCTGTTTCCTGTTATTTTGGATCTTTGACGGTAACTTACTGCTGTTTCCTGTTATTTTGGATCTTTGACGGTAACTTACTGCTGTTTCCTGTTATTTTGGATCTTTGACGGTACCTTACTGCTGTTTCCTGTTATTTTGGATCTTTGACGGTAACTTACTGCTGTTTCCTGTTATTTTGGTTATTTGCCGGTAACTTACTGCTGTTTCCTGTTATTTTGGTTATTTGACGGTAACTTACTGCTGTTTCCTGTTATTTTGGATCTTTGACGGTAACTTACTGCTGTTTCCTGTTATTTTGGATCTTTGACGGTAACTTACTGCTGTTTCCTGTTATTTTGGATCTTTGACGGTAACTTACTGCTGTTTCCTGTTATTTTATCTTTGACGGTAACTTACTGCTGTTTCCTGTTATTTTGGATCTTTGACGGTAACTTACTGCTGTTTCCTGTTATTTTGGATCTTTGACGGTAACTTACTGCTGTTTCCTGTTACTTACTGCTGTTTCCTGTTATTATGGATCTTTGACGGTAACTTTCTGCTGTTTCCTGTTATTTTGGATAATTGACGGCAACTTACAACTGTTTCCTGTTATTTTTATCTTTGACGGTAACTTACTGCTGTTTCCTGTTATTTTTTATTTGACGGTAACTTACTGCTGTTTCCTGTTATTTTTCTTTGACGGTAACTTTGTTATTTTGGATCTTTGCCGGTAACTTACTGCTGTTTCCTGTTATTTTTATCTTTGGCGGTATTTTACTGCTGTTTCCTGTTATTTTGGTTATTTGCCGGTAACTTACTGCTGTCTCCTGTTATTTTTAACTTGCTGCTGTTTCCTGTTATTTTTTATCTTTGCCGGTAACTTACTGCTGTTTCCTGTTATTTTGGATCTTTGACGGTAACTTACTGCTGTTTCCTGTTATTTTGGATCTTTGATGGTAACTTACTGCTGTTTCCTGTTATTTTGGATCTTTGACGGTAACTTACTGCTGTTTCCTGTTATTTTGGATCTTTGACGGTAACTTACTGCTGTTTCCTGTTATTTTGGATCTTTGACGGTAACTTACTGCTGTTTCCTGTTATTTTGGATCTTTGACGGTAACTTACTGCTGTTTCCTGTTATTTTGGATCTTTGACGGTACCTTACTGCTGTTTCCTGTTATTTTGGATCTTTGACGGTAACTTACTGCTGTTTCCTGTTATTTTGGTTATTTGACGGTAACTTACTGCTGTTTCCTGTTATTTTGGATCTTTGACGGTAACTTACTGCTGTTTCCTGTTATTTTGGATCTTTGACGGTAACTTACTGCTGTTTCCTGTTATTTTGGATCTTTGACGGTAACTTACTGCTGTTTCCTGTTATTTTGGATCTTTGACGGTAACTTACTGCTGTTTCCTGTTATTTTGGATCTTTGACGGTAACTTACTGCTGTTTCCTGTTATTTTGGATCTTTGACGGTAACTTACTGCTGTTTCCTGTTATTTTGGATCTTTGACGGTAACTTACTGCTGTTTCCTGTTATTTTGGATCTTTGACGGTAACTTACTGCTGTTTCCTGTTATTTTGGATCTTTGACGGTAACTTACTGCTGTTTCCTGTTATTTTGGATCTTTGACGGTAACTTACTGCTGTTTCCTGTTATTTTGGATCTTTGACGGTAACTTACTGCTGTTTCCTGTTATTTTGGATCTTTGACGGTAACTTACTGCTGTTTCCTGTTATTTTGGATCTTTGACGGTAACTTACTGCTGTTTCCTGTTATTTTGGATCTTTGACGGTAACTTACTGCTGTTTCCTGTTATTTTGGATCTTTGACGGTACCTTACTGCTGTTTCCTGTTATTTTGGTTCTTTGACGGTAACTTACTGCTGTTTCCTGTTATTTTGGATCTTTGACGGTAACTTACTGCTGTTTCCTGTTATTTTGGATCTTTGACGGTAACTTACTGCTGTTTCCTGTTATTTTGGATCTTTGACGGTAACTTACTGCTGTTTCCTGTTATTTTGGATCTTTGACGGTACCTTACTGCTGTTTCCTGTTATTTTGGATCTTTGATGGTAACTTACTGCTGTTTCGTGTTATTTTTTTATCTTTGCCGGTAACTTACTGCTGTTTCCTGTTATTTTGGATCTTTGACGGTAACTTACTGCTGTTTCCTGTTATTTTGGATCTTTGCCGGTAACTTACTGCTGTTTCCTGTTATTTTGGTTATTTGCCGGTAACTTACTGCTGTTTCCTGTTATTTTTATCTTTGGCGGTATTTTACTGCTGTTTCCTGTTATTTTGGTTATTTGCCGGTAACTTACTGCTGTTTCCTGTTATTTTGGATCTTTGACGGTAACTTACTGCTGTTTCCTGTTATTTTGGATCTTTGATGGTAACTTACTGCTGTTTCCTGTTATTTTGGATCTTTGACGGTAACTTACTGCTGTTTCCTGTTATTTTTTATCATTGACCGTAACTTGCTGCTGTTTCCTGTTATTTTTTATCTTTGCCGGTAACTTACTGCTGTTTCCTGTTATTTTGGATCTTTGACGGTAACTTACTGCTGTTTCCTGTTATTTTCGATCTTTGGCGGTAACTTACTGCTGTTTCCTGTTATTTTTTATCTTTGCCGGTAACTTACTGCTGTTTCCTGTTATTTTGGTTATTTGCCGGTAACTTACTGCTGTTTCCTGTTATTTTGGATCTTTGCCGGTAACTTACTGCTGTTTCCTGTTATTTTGGATCTTTGACGGTAACTTACTGCTGTTTCCTGTTATTTTGGATCTTTGCCGGTAACTTACTGCTGTTTCCTGTTATTTTGCTGTTTCCTGATCTTTGACGGTAACTTACTGCTGTTTCCTGTTATTTTGGTTCTTTGACGGTAACTTACTGCTGTTTCCTGTTATTTTGGATCTTTGACGGTAACTTACTGCTGTTTCCTGTTATTTTGGATCTTTGACGGTAACTTACTGCTGTTTCCTGTTATTTTGGATCTTTGACGGTAACTTACTGCTGTTTCCTGTTATTTTGGATCTTTGACGGTAACTTACTGCTGTTTCCTGTTATTTTCTTTGACGGTAACTTTTGCTGTTTCCTGTTATTTTGGATCTTTGACGGTAACTTACTGCTGTTTCCTGTTATTTTGGATCTTTGACGGTAACTTACTGCTGTTTCCTGTTATTTTGGATCTTTGACGGTAACTTACTGCTGTTTCCTGTTATTTTGGATCTTTGACGGTAACTTACTGCTGTTTCGTGTTATTTTGGATCTTTGACGGTAACTTACTGCTGTTTCCTGTTATTTTGGATCTTTGACGGTAACTTACTGCTGTTTCCTGTTATTTTGGATCTTTGACGGTAACTTACTGCTGTTTCGTGTTATTTTTTTTCTTTGACGGTAACTTATTGCTGTTTCGTGTTATTTTGGATCTTTGACGGTAACTTACTGCTGTTTCCTGTTATTTTGGATCTTTGACGGTAACTTTCTGCTTTTTCGTGTTATTTTTTTTCTTTGACGGTAACTTATTGCTGTTTCGTGTTATTTTGGATCTTTGACGGTAACTTACTGCTGTTTCGTGTTATTTTTTTTCTTTGACGGTAACTTATTGCTGTTTCGTGTTATTTTGGATCTTTGACGGTAACTTACTGCTGTTTCGTGTTATTTTGGATCTTTGACGGTAACTTACTGCTGTTTCGTGTTATTTTTTTTCTTTGACGGTAACTTATTGCTGTTTCGTGTTATTTTGGATCTTTGACGGTAACTTACTGCTGTTTCGTGTTATTTTGGATCTTTGACGGTAACTTACTGCTGTTTCCTGTTATTTTGGATCTTTGACGGTAACTTACTGCTGTTTCGTGTTATTTTTTTTCTTTGACGGTAACTTATTGCTGTTTCGTGTTATTTTGGATCTTTGACGGTAACTTACTGCTGTTTCGTGTTATTTTGGATCTTTGACGGTAACTTACTGCTGTTTCGTGTTATTTTGGATCTTTGACGGTAACTTACTGCTGTTTCGTGTTATTTTGGATCTTTGACGGTAACTTACTGCTGTTTCGTGTTATTTTGGATCTTTGACGGTAACTTACTGCTGTTTCGTGTTATTTTGGATCTTTGACGGTAACTTACTGCTGTTTCGTGTTATTTTGGATCTTTGACGGTAACTTACTGCTGTTTCGTGTTATTTTGGATCTTTGACGGTAACTTACTGCTGTTTCGTGTTATTTTGGATCTTTGACGGTAACTTACTGCTGTTTCGTGTTATTTTGGATCTTTGACGGTAACTTACTGCTGTTTCGTGTTATTTTGGATCTTTGACGGTAACTTACTGCTGTTTCGTGTTATTTTTTATCTTTGACGGTAACTTACTGCTGTTTCGTGTTATTTTGGATCTTTGACGGTAACTTACTGCTGTTTCGTGTTATTTTGGATCTTTGACGGTAACTTACTGCTGTTTCGTGTTATTTTGGATCTTTGACGGTAACTTACTGCTGTTTCGTGTTATTTTGGATCTTTGACGGTAACTTACTGCTGTTTCGTGTTATTTTGGATCTTTGACGGTAACTTACTGCTGTTTCGTGTTATTTTGGATCTTTGACGGTAACTTACTGCTGTTTCGTGTTATTTTGGATCTTTGACGGTAACTTACTGCTGTTTCGTGTTATTTTGGATCTTTGACGGTAACTTACTGCTGTTTCGTGTTATTTTGGATCTTTGACGGTAACTTACTGCTGTTTCGTGTTATTTTGGATTTTTGCTGTTTTGTTATTTTGGATCTTTGACGGTCACTTTCTGCTGTTTCTTGTTATCTTTTTTCTTTGACGGTAACTTACTTCTGTTTCGTGTTATTTTGGATCTTTGATGGTAACTTACTGCTGTTTCCTGTTATTTTGGATCTTTGACGGTAACTTACTGCTGTTTCCTGTTATTTTGGATCTTTGACGGTAACTTACTGCTGTTTCCTGTTATTTTTATCTTTTTCTGTATTTTACTGCTGTTTCCTGTTATTTTGGTTATTTGTCGGTAACTTACTGCAGTTTCCTGTTATTTTGGATCTTTGCCGGTAACTTACTGCTGTTTCCTGTTATTTTCGATCTTTGGCGGTAACTTACTGCTGTTTCCTGTTATTTTGGATCTTTGACGGTAACTTACTGCTGTTTCCTGTTATTTTGGATCTTTGACGGTAACTTACTGCTGTTTCCTGTTATTTTTATCTTTGGCGGTATTTTACTGCTGTTTCCTGTTATTTTGGTTATTTGCCGGTAACTTACTGCTGTTTCCTGTTATTTTGGTTATTTGCCGGTAACTTACTGCTGTTTCCTGTTATTTTGGTTATTTGGCGGTAACTTACTGCTGTTTCCTGTTATTTTGGTTATTTGCCGGTAACTTACTGCTGTTTCCTGTTATTTTGGTTATTTGCCGGTAACTTACTGCTGTTTCCTGTTATTTTGGATCTTTGACGGTAACTTACTGCTGTTTCCTGTTCTTTTGGTTATTTGACGGTACCTTACTGGTGTTTCCTGTTATTTTTTATCATTGACGGTAACTTACTGCTGTTTCCTGTTATTTTGGATCTTTGACGGTACCTTACTGCTGTTTCCTGTTATTTTGGATCTTTGACGGTAACTTACTGCTGTTTCCTGTTATTTTGGATCTTTGACGGTAACTTACTGCTGTTTCCTGTTATTTTGGATCTTTGACGGTACCTTACTGCTGTTTCCTGTTATTTTGGATCTTTGACGGTAACTTACTGCTGTTTCCTGTTATTTTGGATCTTTGACGGTAACTTACTGCTGTTTCCTGTTATTTTGGATCTTTGACGGTACCTTACTGCTGTTTCCTGTTATTTTGGATCTTTGACGGTACCTTACTGCTGTTTCGTGTTATTTTGGATCTTTGACGGTAACTTACTGCTGTTTCCTGTTATTTTGGATCTTTGACGGTAACTTATTGCTGTTTCGTGTTATTTTTATCTTGTTTATTGAATGACTTTGAAAATGACTGAATGTGTTTGAGACATTTTTTTATATATTGATGATGTAGATGGTCATGACGTGGCGAACAAGACCTGCCTACACCCATGTGAGGTAAACGGACATCATTTCTGTTTCCCTCCTCCGTGTCCCCTACCGCCATGTGCCAACCCAGTGACCCGTCCAGGCCAGTGCTGTCAAACCTGTCCAGAAGGTAACAGGTCAATTTCTTGTCCTCACTTGGATAGCAGAGACGTGGTCGGTCTCGTTTAAATTTAGTCCTTTATAATGGTGCTGTATAATTCTGAGTTGTTTAAACGTTTTTAAGGGATGGTTAATTCCTTATCAATACAGATAAAGAGTTTTTTGTACCAGATCCAATTTCATTAATCAATTCCAAAAGTGAAATAAATGCTTGTTGTTTTGCCTGAAAATGTATGAAATGATCTTTATTTATTCCACTTGTTATTCCCTATATATTTTGAATAAATTCTGATTGGTTCAGTGGATTTCAAAATTATTTACACTTATATTAAGATATTTTCATCTTTCCGCAAAGTCATGATGAGAATGATATCCTGCCAATGGGCAAGAACATGCTCAAGCAAACTTGAGAACGTGAGCAAAAGTTGAGCACACAATTTTTCGTGAATACGGCTTAAGCATGAGAATAGATTAGGTGAGCACAAAACTTGAATTTTGGGTACAAAACCTTGAACATGAGAACGGTTTCGTGAATACAGGCCCTGGAGTTTGAGTATGAGAAGGTTTCCGTGAATACGGGCCCTGGAGTTTGAGTATGAGAAGGGTTCCGTGAATACGGGCCCTGGAGTATGAGTATGAGAACGGTTTCGTTCATATGGGCCCTGGAGTTTGAGTATGAGAACGGTTTCGTGAGTACGGGCCCTGATCTTGGTCTCCTGGTACTGTTGCTCGGTGTAAATATTTTGTTTTATATTTTGTCATAGTTTTGCTGAATATTTATTTTGTTTAAAGATTTGATGGAATATTTTGTCTTTATTGTTGTATATATATACAGTGTATATTGTATTCGCCCGAAGAATATTTTAAATTTACCAGTTTTCATACGGACAAATAAGATAACGTCTGATTTTTGTTATCATATGGCTGAACAGTTCACAATTTTATAATGAGGTCATCGACATTCAACTTTTAGAATTTTAGGATTGTGATAGATATTCATTAATAGATGTATACATCGTAAATTGTGATAACTCTGAATCACGCGCTTTCTGAATACCCAGTTACAGTTACAACAGTATAGGTATATTTACTGTGAAGGGCGATTAATATAATATTATAATACGGAAAAGACGTGGTGTTCCTGAGTGATAAGCGTTTTCTGATTTAGTTTACTAGTTTACTAATATCACAAAAATTGATGGAATGACAACGGATTAGTTTAAGAATCAAGCACATCAAACTTCATCATCACACATGATGTTTGAACTAAAAAGATATGGCCAATTTGCGTCCATCTATATATATGTGACGATATTTTCCCCAAAGACACGACGATTTGATCTACTGTAATTTTGTTATGATATTTTGACATTTTTCTCTTATATTTTTTTTCTATGATTGACTTTCCAACATTTACCTGTATTTAAATTATTTATGCAATGTTTAGCCCTTCAAAAACAAAAATGACCAACATGGCAACATAATCAAAATCCAAACTCAAATTCAATAAATTATGGCAAAATATGAACAAAGAAAGATTTACACGGAAATCCTAAAAAACAAAGAGAAAAGACCAGATGTTCCGGAAGAGTAAGCGTCTTTTGCTTTATCCACGTTACCCATCATGTAAACCTTGATTAATCCAAGTAAGTAATGTCGTGTTCTCAAATGAGAATATGGTTACAACAGCAGAACCAACAGGCAAACTAACGAACATCAAACACGTTCAAATACATACCACATAAGATAATGGAATATTCTAAATGACGGTCATAACACCTCCCTATCATTTTTCATCAGCTTGCATCTCTCGAAATCTTACATGGCAATCCGTAAGTGAGAACAAGCCTTTGAAACAACTGCGAATGTAAACAACATAGAGGATTCTGTGATGTTACTCTAAAGTAATGGGAAATTTAGGGAAATTGAATCGATCGCGCTATCGTGTAATGTTTCTTTTCAGAAAGCGTTGCGGTCGGTAAACGAGAGGATTCTGACTGTGTCCATCCGTGTACACAAGGTGGCGTCAAGTACTGTCAACCTATACCGTGTCCCTTCCCACCCTGTGATAATCCTGTCACCACGCCAGGGGAGTGCTGTCCACACTGTCCTACAGGTGGGTCACATAAACATCCGGCCTTTGTTGTAAATAACAATACGTGGGTGGCCATTCGACGTCATAATTGTTGGTATAAAAAGGCGAAGGTTTCAAAATGACTGTTCCACTTGACGGATTACAATACCAATACTGATAACTGTTCCACTTGACGGATTACAATATCAGTCCTGACAACTGTTCCACTTGACGGATTACAATATCAGTACTGATAACTGTTCCACTTGACGGATTACAATATCAGTACTGATAACTGTTCCACTTGACGGATTACAATATCAGTCCTGACATCTGTTCCACTTGACGGATTACAATATCAGTACTGACAACTATTCCGCTTGACGGATTACATTATCAATAATGACGACCGTTTCACTTGAGTGATTATATTGTCGATAACGAATTATTCATTTTCAATTTAAACGAAGATACTATTTCATAAGACATCACCATATGTACTGAATACAGGTAAAGCATTCAACTTTGATGGTATGGTATGTATTGTTGTTATAATTGTCACACCATGACAGTTTGACGCTTCCTCGATGGCAATTATAACCGTTCTGAAATGCATCTGTTGATACGGTTAGTGGAACATCTTTAACAGAAGCATGTTTCACTGAAGGTGTCAGTCCTGTTGTTATTCTTATTGTAATCTGGCAGTACCAAAACTGCAATCCACGAGAACCAGCATTGCCATCCGGAAGTACCAATACTGCAATCCGGAAGTATCAATATTGTAATCCGGAAGTGCCAATAATGCTATCCGGAAAGATCAATACTGTAGTCCGGAAGTACCAAAACTGCAATCCGGAAGTACCAGTACTGCAGTCCGGAAGTACCAAAACTGCAATCCGGATGTACCAGTACCGTAGTCCGGAAGTACCAAAACTGCAATCCGGAAGTACCAGTACTGCAGTCCGGAAGTACCAAAACTGCAATCCGGATTTACCAGTAGTGTAGTCCGGAAGTACCAAAACTGCAATCCGGAAGTACCAGTACTGCAGTCCGGAAGTACCAAAACTGCAATCCGGATTTACCAGTAGTGTAGTCCGGAAGTATCAATATTGTAATCCGGAAGTGCCAATAATGCTATCCGGAAAGATCAATACTGTAGTCCGGAAGTACCAAAACTGCAATCCGGAAGTACCAGTACTGCAGTCCGGAAGTACCAAAACTGCAATCCGGATGTACCAGTACTGTAGTCCGGAAGTACCAAAACTGCAATCCGGAAGTACCAGTACTGCAGTCCGGAAGTACCAAAACTGCAATCCGGATTTACCAGTAGTGTAGTCCGGAAGTACCAAAACTGCAATCCGGAAGTACCAAAACTGCAATCCGGATTTACCAGTAGTGTAGTCCGGAAGTACGAGTACCGTTTTCCGGCTCTGCCAATCTTTATGGTTGGGCTTTCCTTGAAGATCTTACGTATAATTTAAGAGACCTAAACGTAGGCCATCGAATATAATGAGAAGCTGATGTTTAAATTTGTATCTTTGTATAAAAAATTTGCCTTGTTATGAGTTATTTCAAATTACATCAAATGTAGACGTTAGTAAAGCAACACATACTACATCATCAAGCTAGTAGGATCACCAGCTGGTTCCCATTTATTGTACAATTGGTGATAGAAAAAGTAATATTTTGCGTGCAAGACTAAGAAATGGATCTAGTACATTAAATAATGACTTATTTCATGCAAATTTAATTGATTATCAACACTGCCAATGTGGTCATTCTGTTGAAGACACATACCATTTCTTTTTTGTTTGTAATAAGTATGCAGACCAAAGAATTATTTTTTACCGAGAACTAAATGATTTCATCCCATTAGACCTGCAGCTAATCTTACATGGAAGTAATGAATTATCCAAAGACGAAAACAGTAAAATATGTCTTCACACTCAGCAATTTATTATTAATACAAATAGATTTTGATCCACCTCTCTCTCCTCCCCTCCTCACCTTCTGTCTTTCCATCTCGCTCTCTTTCTACTCTCTCCTTTCATCTCAGCAGAACTCGTTTTCTATAATATATTTAAAAAGCCACCTTGAATATGTATATTTTGTAAACATGTTGTTGGGAAAGGGCTTAATATAAGTTGGATAACTTGTGCCCAATCCCTTGTATATAACATACAATAAAATATGTTTAAATCAAAACCAGCTGGTGTTTCTGTACCAATACATTTTACAGAAAGTCCCCACTCATGTAAAGTTAACGGTAAGGTATACTGTCACTCCCCCGGATGTCCTCCACCGGAACCATGCCCTAGGTCAGTGCTGACCCCATGTGACTGTTGTCCACACTGTGAAAGAGAGGGTGTGTCTTGTTCCCCAATATTTATTTCAAACAGGGAGTGTTGGTTGATATCGGATTTTCTCGTTTGTTTGAGAAATTACGTTTGCCGAGTAGAGAACTTTCAATGATGACCTCAGGTCTAGGACGTCTTTATCAAGCGTTAATTGGTAACAAACATTTTTTTTTTCTCTCTCAGCTGGTGAAAACATGTTTATGGGATGAACAATTATACTTTGTTAAAATGACTGAATGTGTTTGAGATATGTTTTTTGTGATATTGATGATGTAGATGGTCATGACGTGGCGAACAAGACCTGCCCACACCCATGTGAGGTAAATGGAAATCATTTCTGTTTCCCTCCTCCGTGTCCACCACCGCCATGTGCCAACCCAGTGACCCTTCCCAGCCAGTGCTGTCAAACCTGTCCAGAAGGTAACAGGTCAATTTCTTGTCCTCACTTAGATAGCAGAGACGTGGTCGGTCTCGTTAAAATTTAGTCCTTTATAAAGGTGCTGTTTAATTCTAAGCTGTTCAATTTTTTTCAGAGATAGTTAATTCCTTATCGATACATGTTAATTATTTTATTATCACCATGACAACAATTATCAAAAGGTATTAATATATACACTTATCGTCCTTTAGGTGACGATGTAGCTAAAAATACCACGTGGTATCTCTGTGGATTTACCACTATTGACCTTGACCTTGTCGAGTGTGTTTAACTTGCAACTGTTATGGTGATTTATTTTACTAAGAAAGAAATTTGTATTTTCAGACAACATGGAGAAGGATCAACATCCGGTTCAGAGGTCACCTGAATGGCCCGACCCCTGGAGATGTTATCCTCCTCCTCCCTGCCCTCCGCCCCCACCTCCTCCCTACTGTAACGTCAGCGTCATCCAGCCATACGATCTTTGCTGTGAGGTTTGTGAAACAGGTAATCAATTTAATTATAATTTAAACATATTTTATTGAATCAAATGGATTGGGCAGAAGTTATCAGGTTTATACTTCGCCTTTCCAAATAAAATCTAGCAATATACACCAACAAAATAATAGTTATATGATCAATGAAGTAGTAACGATTGTACGGACAAGTGAATTTTCAAATTTTCGAGGCAACCTGCCTCTTTATCAAGACACAAATATCACATAAATTACATCAAATACCTAGATCATAAAACAAATACAAAGTTATAAACTAAAATCGAGAATGGTGGTGTAGAATAGGTGTCTCGATAATCCTTTCGGCCAATGGACCTTTAAATGGAGCGCAAAAAAACATCATAAGTTGATGGTAATTCAAATATCAAGAATGTTTTATATGAATGTCGGTGAGATGATAGCTATATATGTTCCGCGTCTTTCTGATGTTCAATAAGTCGGACCCAGAATCCCCTGCCTGCTTCTCCGATATATGATGTGTCGCAGTATACGATTTAGCATATGTATTCTGTAATGTTATTTCGGACGTTTTGTGTGTAGGATGTTTCGGGACTTGTGACGATTTACGGTTGTTGCAATGGTACTGCGCTATTTACTAACCGCGCTATTTACTTACCATGGTGTTTATTTACCACGGTATTTACTTACCACGCTACTAACTTACTACTGTATTTACTTACCACTGTATTAACTTACCACGGTATTTAATTACCACGGTATTTACCTACCACTGTATTTACACGGTATTTACTTACCACGGTATTCACTTACCACGGTATTTACTTACCACTGTATTTACTTACCACTGTATTTACTTACCACGGTATTTACTTACCACTGTATTTACCTACCACTGTATTTACACGGTATTTACTTACCACGGTATTTACTTACCACTGTATTTACTAACCACTGTATTTACTTACCACTGTATTTACTAACCACTGTATTTACTTACCACTGTATTACTTACCACGGTATTTACTTACCACTGTATTTACTAACCACGGTATTTACTTACCACTGTATTTACCTACCACTGTATTTACTTACCACGGTATTTACTTACCACGTATTTACTTATCACGATATTTACTTACCACGGTATTTACTTACCACGGTATTTACTTACAAATGTATTCATTACCACGCTATTTACCGTTGGAAACAAATCGTGTGAATGGTTTCTGACAGACCACTGATGTAAAGGATGACATGTCTTTTAGATTTGTTCTTTTTCCCGGTATTTCGTTTGTTAGTCTGTTCTTTGCTTTCACCAAATTCCTTGTTAACTTTGTTACTTTCCCCTTTAGGGTATCTATATATTTCCATGGCGCTGTGGATGTGATATTTCGTTTGTTAGTCTGTTCTTTGCTTTCACCAAATTCCTTGTTAACTTTGTTACTTTCCCCTTTAGGGTATCTATATATTTCCATGGCGCTGTGGATGTGATTTTTATTCTTAATGCTTGTCTTGCCCTTTTGTGATAGTCGTTTAATCTGTATTGAGCAAAAGTCGTACAACGACTAGCTTCTGGTTTTCGCGTAAGAGTTGGTAAAGTGTTTGACAGGGACTTTGATTGAACGAGATCCTTCTTTGATTTAGATCATGATATTATGGAAATCATCATTATGTCCTTTCTAAATGTTTTGGTCTTTATTTTCTTCTTGTGTCATAATTAAAGATATTGTGAAGGTGGTTAGAATGGAAAATTTAAGAGAGTTTCCGATGGAGCGTATAAGCAATAAATAAACGATGATAAGTATACAGCAGACAGTTCCGAAAGAAGACCTTCTTTGTTCTAACATGTTCCTCTGTCTGTTTTAGCCTGTCCAAATAGGTGTAAATGGCTGGATGATATATGGTGCAATCCCCCAGCCTGTCCACCTGTTCTGTGTCCGAACGCCACGTTGACAGAAGGTGACTGTTGTCCCCATTGTGAAGCGGATACTGACCACCAATAGGAGAGTCATCACGTCCATATTAAAAAGTCTTCAGTGATGTTTCTAGTATGTTATCTTATATATCTATGTAGCAAAAATACTGAATTACAAGTAATTTCTTAAGTGATGATGTAGGCGTTTGTCACACAAAAAGTAAGAAAATATATCATTATTTCAATTTAAAAAAAATAAACTTTGTGACAAATCAGCAAGGCTTTTAAACTTTGTGACAAATCAGTAAGGCTATTGAAAATATATCATTATTACAATTTTTTTTCCAAAATAAAACTTTTTGACAAGACAACAAGGCTATTGAAAATATATCATTATTTCAATTTTTTTTCAATATTAAATTTTTGACAAATCAGCAAAGCTATTCAAAATATATCATTATTACAATTTTTTTTCCAAAATAAAACTTTTTGACAAGACAACAAGGCTATTGAAAATATATCATTATTTCAATTTTTTTTCAATATTAAATTTTTGACAAATCAGCAAGGCTATTCAAAATATATCATTATTACAATTTTTTTCCAAAATAAAACTTTGTGACAAATCAACAAGGCTATTGAAAATATATCATTATTTCAATTTTTTTTCAATATTAAATGTTTGACAAATCAGCAAGGCTATTGAAAATATATCATTATTTAATTTTTTTTCCAAAATAAAACATTTTGACAAATCAACAAGGCTATTGAAAATATATCATTATTTCAATTTTTTTCAAAAATTAAACTTTGTTACAAATCAACAAGGCTATTGAAAATATATCATTATTTAATGTTTTTTTCCAAAATAAAACATTGTGACAAATCAACAAGGCTATTGAAAATATATCATTATTTCAATTTTTTTTCAATATTAAATTTTTGACAAATCAGCAAGGCTATTCAAAATATATCATTATTACAATTTTTTTCCAAAATAAAACTTTGTGACAAATCAACAAGGCTATTGAAAATATATCATTATTTCAATTTTTTTTCAATATTAAATGTTTGACAAATCAGCAAGGCTATTGAAAATATATCATTATTTAATTTTTTTTCCAAAACAAAACATTTTGACAAATCAACAAGGCTATTGAAAATATATCATTATTTCAATTTTTTTCAAAAATTAAACTTTGTGACAAATCAACAAGGCTATTGAAAATATATCATTATTTAATGTTTTTTTCCAAAATAAAACATTGTGACAAATCAACAAGGCTATTGAAAATATATCATTATTTCAATTTTTTCCAAAATTAAACTTTGTTACAAATCAACAAGGCTATTGAAAATATATCATTATTTCAATTTTTTCCAAAATTAAACTTTGTTACAAATCAACAAGGCTATTGAAAATATATCATTATTTCAATTTTTTCCAAAATTAAACTGTGTGACAAATCAACAAGGCTATTGAAAATATATCATTATTTAATTTTTTTTCCAAAATAAAACATTTTGACAAATCAACAAGGCTATTGAAAATATATCATTATTTATTTTTTTTTCAAAATTAAACTTTGTTACAACTCAACAAGGCTATTGAAAATATATCATTATTTCAATTTTTTCCAAAATTAAACTTTTTGACAAGACAACAAGGCTATTGAAAATATATCATTATTTCAATTTTTTTTCAATATTAAATTTTTGACAAATCAGCAAGGCTATTGAAAATATATCATTATTTAATTTTTTTTCCAAAATAAAACATTTTGACAAATCAACAAGGCTATTGAAAATATATCATTATTTCAATTTTTTTCAAAAATTAAACTTTGTGACAAATCAACAAGGCTATTGAAAATATATCATTATTTAATGTTTTTTTCCAAAATAAAACATTGTGACAAATCAACAAGGCTATTGAAAATATATCATTATTTCAATTTTTTCCAAAATTAAACTTTGTTACAAATCAACAAGGCTATTGAAAATATAGCATTATTTCAATTTTTTCCAAAATTAAACTGTGTGACAAATCAACAAGGCTATTGAAAATATATCATTATTTATTTTTTTTCAAAATTAAACTTTGTTACAAATCAACAAGGCTATTGAAAATATATCATTATTTAATTTTTTTTCCAAAATAAAACATTTTGACAAATCAACAAGGCTATTGAAAATATATCATTATTTAATTTTTTTTCCAAAATAAAACATTTTGACAAATCAACAAGGCTATTGAAAATATATCATTATTTATTTTTTTTTCAAAATTAAACTTTGTGACAAATCAACAAGGCTATTCAAAATATATCATTATTTCAATTTTTTTTTTCAATATTAAATTTTTGACAAATCAGCAAGGCTATTCAAAATATATCATTATTTCAATTTTTTTTTCAATATTAAATTTTTGACAAATCAACAAGTCTATTGAAAATATATCATTATTTCAATCTTTTTTTCAAAATTAAACTCTGTTACAAATCAACAAGGCTATTGAAAATATATCATCATTTCAATTTTTTTCAAAATTAAACTTTGTGACAAATCAACAAGGCTATTGTATCAAATATCTGGACACCACTTCAGTCAATGAAGCTGCTTATGTACATCTACGTTATTTGTACTTCATTTATAATTTCACATGTAGGAAATAATGTCATCAATATTTCCCATAAATCACTGGATAATTAATAAACTAAAACTAAAAATGAACAAAAACAATGATGTCATAAGCAAAATATAATCAACGCTCAATTATAATAAGAATTGATAAACAAATTATGAAATTGATATTCAACAAATGTAATGCATTGCTAAACTCATTTAATTATCTAAATAGTAAAATATCAAAATTCATTTTTACAATGACTTGCATTATCTAACAAAGGTCTTCACTGACTTTGGGACATTGTCGTTCGCTGAAAGGCCGTAATAACAATAATTTGTGACATAGATCAAACGTCTTTTTGTTAAATGATTTCACGATATGTCAACATTAAACATATACAAAGGTTCCAAGACGATCGGTGTTTAATGGTCTAACTCAGAGATATTTAATTAATGTTAAAGTTGATCATCTAAAGGAAGAAATCACACGAACCTAAGTGAACGGAAGAAATCACACGAAACAAAGTGAAAGGAAGAAATCACACGAACCGAAGTGAAAGGAAGAAATCACACGAACCGAAGTGAAAGGAAGAAATCATACGAACCTAAGTGAAAGGAAGAAATCACACGAACCGAAGTGAAAGGAAGAAATCACACGAACCGAAGTGAAAGGAAGAAATCACACGAACCTATGTGAAAGGAAGAAATCACACGAACCTATGTGAAAGGAAGAAATCACACGAACCCATGTGAAAGGAAGAAATCACACGAACCCATGTGAAAGGAAAGAAATCACACGAACCTATGTGAAAGGAAGAAATCACACGAACCGAAGTGAAAGGAAGAAATCACACGAACCGAAGTGAAAGGAAGAAATCACACGAACCTATGTGAAAGGAAGAAATCACACGAACCGAAGTGAAAGGAAGAAATCACACGAACCGAAGTGAAAGGAAGAAATCACACGAACCTAAGTGAAAGGAAGAAATCACACGAAGTGAAAGGAAGAAATCACACGAAAGTGAAAGGAAGAAATCACACGAACCTAAGTGAAAGGAAGAAATCACACGAACCGAAGTGAAAGGAAGAAATCACACGAACCTATGTGAAAGGAAGAAATCACACGAACCTATGTGAAAGGAAGAAATCACACGAACCGAAGTGAAAGGAAGAAATCACACGAACCTATGTGAAAGGAAGAAATCACACGAACCGAAGTGAAAGGAAGAAATCACACGAACCTATGTGAAAGGAAGAAATCACACGAACCTATGTGAAAGGAAGAAATCACACGAACCGAAGTGAAAGGAAGAAATCACACGAACCGAAGTGAACGGAAGAAATCACACGAACCTAAGTGAAAGGAAGAAATCACACGAACCTAAGTGAAAGGAAGAAATCACACGAACCTATGTGAAAGGAAGAAATCACACGAACCTATGTGAAAGGAAGAAATCACACGAACCGAAGTGAAAGGAAGAAATCACACGAACCGAAGTGAAAGGAAGAAATCACACGAACCGAAGTGAAAGGAAGAAATCACACGAACCTAAGTGAAAGGAAGAAATCACACGAACCTAAGTGAAAGGAAGAAATCACACGAACCTATGTGAAAGGAAGAAATCACACGAACCTATGTGAAAGGAAGAAATCACACGAACCCATGTGAAAGGAAGAAATCACACGAACCTATGTGAAAGGAAGAAATCACACGAACCGAAGTGAACGGAAGAAATCACACGAACCGAAGTGAACGGAAGAAATCACACGAACCTATGTGAAAGGAAGAAATCACACGAACCGAAGTGAACGGAAGAAATCACACGAACCTATGTGAAAGGAAGAAATCACACGAACCTATGTGAAAGGAAGAAATCACACGAACCGAAGTGAACGGAAGAAATCACACGAACCGAAGTGAAAGGAAGAAATCACACGAACCGAAGTGAAAGGAAGAAATCACACGAACCGAAGTGAAAGGAAGAAATCACACGAACCGAAGTGAACGGAAGAAATCACACGAACCTATGTGAAAGGAAGAAATCACACGAACCGAAGTGAAAGGAAGAAATCACACGAACCTATGTGAAAGGAAGAAATCACACGAACCTATGTGAAAGGAAGAAATCACACGAACCGAAGTGAACGGAAGAAATCACACGAACCTATGTGAAAGGAAGAAATGAACGGAAGAAATCACACGAACCTATGTGAAAGGAAGAAATCACACGAACCGAAGTGAACGGAAGAAATCACACGAACCTATGTGAAAGGAAGAAATCACACGAACCTATGTGAAAGGAAGAAATCACACGAACCTATGTGAAAGGAAGAAATCACACGAACCTATGTGAAAGGAAGAAATCACACGAACCTATGTGAAAGGAAGAAATCACACGAACCGAAGTGAACGGAAGAAATCACACGAACCGAAGTGAACGGAAGAAATCACACGAACCGAAGTGAAAGGAAGAAATCACACGAGCCGAAGTGAACGGAAGAAATCACACGAACCGAAGTGAACGGAAGAAATCACACGAACCGAAGTGAACGGAAGAAATCACACGAACCGAAGTGAACGGAAGAAATCACACGAACCGAAGTGAACGGAAGAAATCACACGAACCGAAGTGAAAGGAAGAAATCACACGAACCGAAGTGAAAGGAAGAAATCACACGAACCGAAGTGAACGGAAGAAATCACACGAACCTATGTGAAAGGAAGAAATCACACGAACCGAAGTGAAAGGAAGAAATCACACGAACCGAAGTGAAAGGAAGAAATCACACGAACCTATGTGAAAGGAAGAAATCACACGAACCGAAGTGAAAGGAAGAAATCACACGAACCGAAGTGAAAGGAAGAAATCACACGAACCTAAGTGAAAGGAAGAAATCACACGAACCGAAGTGAAAGGAAGAAATCACACGAACCTATGTGAAAGGAAGAAATCACACGAACCGAAGTGAAAGGAAGAAATCACACGAACCTAAGTGAAAGGAAGAAATCACACGAACCTATGTGAAAGGAAGAAATCACACGAACCTATGTGAAAGGAAGAAATCACACGAACCTATGTGAAAGGAAGAAATCACACGAACCAAAGTGAAAGGAAGAAATCACACGAACCTGTGTGAAAGGAAGAAATCACACGAACCGAAGTGAAAGGAAGAAATCACACGAACCTATGTGAAAGGAAGAAATCACACGAACCTATGTGAAAGGAAGAAATCACACGAACCTATGTGAAAGGAAGAAACCACACGAACCTAAGTGAATTTACTTGAACAAAACCACGATCCTAATCTAGAGCACTCCGACCTACTTTTAACACGCTTAAAAATTCAAAAGGTCCAAAGGGCCTGATTCATGTTTCCAGGATGATGTTTAACGTGAGGCTCGGAAATAACTCGAAAGCAATATCTATCACTCAGTACGACCATTTTAAAGAAACAAGAGTGAATATTATTAATTAAAATTAATTATTAAAAAATGTCAAGTAAACTGCATAGTACAGTAGTGTCGTTCTTTGAGGCCTAGAATGTTGAAACCTAGGAGGTGACCAAGGAAGGTCCCAGTTGGTCGAAATCATTGTCACAAAATGGGGAAATGCATTTACCTAAAAGTAAATCACATTACTTCAATATTAATTGATTTTAAAAACAGCGAATGTACATGTATATGCTCTCAACTGTGTCACTACACGGATTCATTAAAACATGGTATACAGGTTACAAAAGGCATAAAAATGAATTGACAAGTGACTATGGAGTATCCTACCAACTCGGGGAGGGAGAAGAGGTCTGGAGTTTAATTCACCAATCGTAGAACTTTTCTAGTTTGAGGCGTGGCAGTGGCTTTGAAAAAAACCAATATACACGTATGTTACACAAGAGACAGTGTGAAGATATAGGGGAATATTGACATGATTCTTACCAATACGTTCATACACATCACTTTTTATCTCACGATCCGAGGACGAGTTCGTTTTTTTGGGGAGAAATACGTCTTTTTACTGTTTCGGCTTCGAGAATTTTCTCTCGAGTTTGGTTGGAGAGATTATTGAAGTAGAAGACCAGGATCAGATCTCTGACAGTGGAAATTAACAAAGAGAATACCGATACATGAACATAATCTTAATTCAGACTCAGATTCGATAAGACTTTCCCAACATATGAACAGAAGAAAGATTTCATAAAGACTCCTGAAAAAAGGGAGATTAAGACCAGGTGTTCCGGAATAGTAAGCGTCTTCTGTTTCATAGACGGCTATCATCTGGTAAACCTTGGTCAATCCAACTAAGTAATGTCATGGTCTCAATGAGAACAGGTTATACAACATCAGAACCCACAGACAAACTTACGAACATCACACATGTCCAGCTTCATATCACATAAAAAAATAGAACATTTCTCAATGAGATCACGATGGTGACCTTCCTACAATGTATATCAATCTGCATCTTTTGAACCCCTGTGTTACGAATTTGTCCATCAGTTGACGACTTCATGCACAAAAATCGTGATAATGGGAATAGGCATTGGATAATAAATAATGCCACGTTCTCAAAGGAGAATCGGGTATACAACAACGGAACCACGTGGCATACTTTCACAAAGCACTAAAAATACGACTTTAGGAACGAGTTCAAAGTATGACGTCAGCAACACATCAAACGTTAAGATTAGCATTATCAATAATTCACAATACTTCCTTAGTACCACAGTTTTTTCTCCTTAAATAACATACATTAATGTTTTAAACCCATGTCTGAATTGTAAGCAAAGCTTTTGAACGGTTGTGAAATTATAGCGAAAAAAAATGAAACGTGAAACGACAATGACATTTTTTCTCATCCATGCATGACTTCGTTCAATCTGTAAATCTTGTAAACGATACGTTATTATGATTCTTTCACTGAAGCAATACGATTTTAGCGTTAATATATATATTGCTAACAAATAATGACAAAAGATCACATTCTCATTTATATATACACAGCACACGAACACTGCTGTAAACAGCACAATCATATATCAGCGCCACACTTTTATTCATATCATACACTTAGACCACGTGGTTCAAACAAACTAGTTTTACTTACCAAGGATAAGTATTTTTGTCCTACGTTTTACTCTCTATGAAAATTGATTTTCAACTTATGACTGAAAAATGAATTTGACAGATGATTTTAGAAATCATTTAGACGGTGATCGCTTGTTACAATTGCAGAGTTTTCATTTTCGACCGCCTCTCGACATGGTTTGAGTGGCGTTGTGTTGTGTTCCTCTGGGGGCTCAAAATATTCCTGTATAGCGTTCACGGCATCTGTCCGTCCCATCTCACCAAGGAATCTCTACAATCAGAGTAGGAACAAATTAAAAAACATCACCCATTAAATAAAACCCATATACGAAATACGATTTATATACATAATGAAACAGATATAGCCTGCCACTGGCCGTTGTCGGAATACACGTGCTACATATATTTTTGCTGTATTCGGCAGTGACGGAAAACTGCTGTATTTTAGTACTTGCGGTTACTCGACAGAATTACTCTCTGAATTTACTCAAATACTACATTTAGAAGTAAAGATGGTTTTTTAATAAGCGATTGTACATGTTGTAATACATGTCGATCTTTGAATATTCATAAAATCACTATTATATCTGATGAAGTTTGGCGTCCGTTATCGGGCAAACTTCAGCGTAACGTCAACGTCAAGGAAACACAGATTGAACAACAAAACTGTTTTAGTTTCAATCGTCTGATGTTCAAACAATGTTGTAGGATAAACAGAATACATAGTCAGTGTCTTAAAATATCTATTGTATTTTGGCTGGGGACAGAAAGACAAAAGTGGCTCACACTTGTCAGAACACAGCTTATATATTCTCTATACGTTACAAACGATGCTTTATCAGTTTAAAATGTAAAATTTTCGTTTCATTATATTATCATTTTTCATGTCATGTCTGCTCTACTGAAAAACACAAATATAGTGTGGAATTGAAATATTTTGTGGAATTGCTTTACACCACTGGGTTGACATCAAACATGCGGCAATGTCTAGCAACAAATATTAGACATATATCAAACTACAGATTAATAATAATCATAGATTTTAAAATCAAATTTCAAATAAAACTTTTTCATGCTACCAAAACATAACAAATGAATGCATTGTATTTTAAATAGCGAACTTTGTTGTACGGAAATTAGTTCCATCCCGTGCACGGTCTGTGAAGTTAACGGTGATAATCTTAATTGTACTACATTAGATAAAACTCCATTTAAAAAAAAATCATTTTGTCCGATGAAGAACATTGATCTTCTGCGTGGTTTTATTGATGATACCTCTGTAACACAGGATGAAAACATGTTTTTCCAAGAGTAGAAGACGTCACGTGACTAATCGGAACATACCAGGGCCCGTATTTCATATAACATATTACTCATACTAATATATAGGGACACATGTTTGTGTTTTAGCGATATGTCGGATACACTTTTGTGTTTTAGTGATATGTCGGATACATGTTTGTGTTTTAGTGATATGTCGGATACACTTTTGTGTTTTAGTGATATGTCGGAGACACTTTTGTGTTTTAGTGATATGTCGGATACATGTTTGTGTTTTAGTGATATGTCGGATACACTTTTGTGTTTTAGTGATATGTCGGATACATGTTTGTGTTTTAGTGATATGTCGGATACACTTTTGTGTTTTAGTGATATGTCGGATACATGTTTTATGTTTTAGTGATATGTCGGATACATGTGTGTGTTTAAGTGATATGTCGGACACATGTTTGTGTTTTAGTGATATGTCGGAGACACTTTTGTGTTTTAGCGATATGTCGGATACATGTTTGTGTTTTAGTGATATCTCGGATACATGTTTGTGTTTTAGTGATATGTCGAATACATGTTTGTGTTTAAGTGATATGTCGGATACACTTTTGTGTTTTAGTGATATGTCGGATACACTTTTGTGTTTTAGTGATATGTCGGATACACTTTTGTGTTTTAGTGATATGTCGGATACATGTTTGTGTTTTAGTGATATGTCGGATACACTTTTGTGTTTTAGTGATATGTCGGATACATGTTTGTGTTTTAGTGATATGTCGGATACACTTTTGTGTTTTAGTGATATGTCGGATACATGTTTTATTTTTTAGTGATATGTCGGATACATTTGTGTGTTTAAGTGATATTTCGGAAACATGTTTGTGTTTTAGTGATATGTCGGATACACTTTTGTGTTTTAGTGATATGTACATGTTTGTGTTTTAGTGATACGGATACATGTTTGTGTTTTAGTGATATGTCGAATACATGTTTGTGTTTTAGTGATATGTCGGATACACTTTTGTGTTTTAGTGATATGTCGGATACACTTTTGTGTTTTAGTGATATGTCGGATACACTTTTGTGTTTTAGTGATATGTCGGATACATGTTTGTGTTTTAGTGATATGTCGGATACACTTTTGTGTTTTAGTGATATGTCGGATACACTTTTGTGTTTTAGTGATATGTCGGATACATTTTTGTGTTTTAGTGATATGTCGGATACACTTTTGTGTTTTAGTGATATGTCGGATACACTTTTGTGTTTTAGTGATATGTCGGATACATGTTTGTGTTTTAGTGATATGTCGGATACACTTTTGTGTTTTAGTGATATGTCGGATACACTTTTGTGTTTTAGTGATATGTCGGATACATGTTTGTGTTTTAGTGATATGTCGAATACATGTTTGTGTTTTAGTGATATGTCGGATACACTTTTGTGTTTTAGTGATATGTCGGATACACTTTTGTGTTTTAGTGATATCGGTCGGATACACTTTTGTGTTTTAGTGATATGTCGGATACACTTTTGTGTTTTAGTGATATGTCACTTTTGTGTTTTAGTGATATGTCGGATACACTTTTGTGTTTTAGTGATATGTCGGATACACTTTTGTGTTTTAGTGATATGTACACTTTTGTGTTTTAGTGATATACACTTTTGTGTTGATATGTGACACATATGTCGGATACACTTTTGTGTTTTAGTTTAGTGATGATATGTCGGATACACTTTTGTGTTTTAGTGATATTTGGGAGACACTTTTGTGTTTTAGTGATATGTCGGATACACTTTTGTGTTTTAGTGATATGTCGGATACACTTTTGTGTTTAAGTGATATGTCACTTTTGTGTTTGATATGTGATATGTCGGATACATGTTTGTGTTTTAGTGATATGTCGGATACATGTTTGTGTTTTAGTGATATGTCGGATACATGTTTGTGTTTAAGTGATATGTCGGATACACTTTTGTGTTTTAGTGATATGTCGGATACACTTTTGTGTTTTAGCGATATGTCGGATACACTTTTGTGTTTTAGTGATATGTCGGATACACTTTTGTGTTTTAGTGATATGTCGGACACACATTTTTTTGCTTTAGTGATATGTCGGATACACTTTTGTGTTTTAGTGATATGTCGGACACACTTTTGTGTTTTAGTGATATGTCGGAGACACTTTTGTGTTTTAGTGATATGTCGGATACACTTTTGTGTTTTAGTGATATGTCGGATACATGTTTGTGTTTTAGTGATATCTCGGATACATGTTTGTGTTTTAGTGATATGTCGGATACATGTTTGTGTTTAAGTGATATGTCGGATACACTTTTGTGTTTTAGTGATATGTCGGATACACTTTTGTGTTTTAGTGATATGTCGGACACACTTTTGTGTTTTAGCGATATGTCGGATACACTTTTGTGTTTTAGTGATATGTCGGATACACTTTTGTGTTTTAGTGATATGTCGGACACACTTTTGTGTTTTAGTGATATGTCGGACACACTTTTGTGTTTTAGTGATATGTCGGAGACATTTTTGTGTTTTAGTGATATGCCAGATACATGTTTTTTGTTTTAGTGATTTGTCGGATACACTTTTGTGTTTAAGTGGTATGTCGGATACACTTTTGTGTTGTAGTGATATGTCGGAGACATTTTTGTGTTTTAGTGATATGTCGGATACATGGTTGTGTTTTAGTGATATCTCGGATACATGTTTGTGTTTTAGTGATATGTCGGAGACACTTTTGTGTTTTAGGGATATGTCGGATACACTTTTGTGTTTTAGTGATATGTCGGATACACTTTTGTGTTTTAGTGATATGTCGGATACATGTTTGTGTTTTAGTGATATGTCGGATACATGTTTGTGTTTTAGTGATATCTCGGATACACTTTTGTGTTTTAGGGATATCTCGGATACACTTTTGTGTTGTAGTGATATGTCGGAGACATTTTTGTGTTTTAGTGATATGTCGGGTACACTTTTGTGTTTTAGTGATATGTCGGATACACTTTTGTGTTTTAGTGATATGTCGGATACACTTTTTTCAATGGTATGAAGGAATTTCGTAAAGACTTTAGATAAAATCTCACTTCCAACGTTTTTTTTTCTTACAAACCACTATTTAATATTTTAAAGAGATTATATAGAAAGTTTAATTGAGAAAAGTGCTGAAATATGATAATTGTTTGATAAATACGGGCCAAGACCGCAGAATTCATGGATGATTTTAAATGCCGCAAATTAACTATTTCACAAAGTTAGCCATATTGACCGTACACAGAAACATCCTGTTCAACAGTTTCTGATCATTGATAACATATGTACAACATATATTTGGAATCGTCTGGCACATTTATATATACATAATACATGATATCAAAGATATATTTAAACCTTATCCTGATATGTGTGTGAACTGTTCTTCATAAAAGTACCTGGAGATCCTGAAGTGTGTGCACTTTTTGATTTAAGATAAAGTAGTACCTGGAGATCCTGAAGTGTGTGCGCTTTTTGATTTAAGATAAAGTAGTACCTGGAGATCCTGAAGTGTGTGCGCTTTTTGATTTAAGATAAAGTAGTACCTGGAGATCCTGAAGTGTGTGGACTTTTTGATTTAAGATAAAGTAGTACCTGGAGATCCTGAAGTGTGTGCGCTTTTTGATTTAAGATAAAGTAGTACGTAGAGATCCTGAAGTGTGTGGACTTTTTGATTTAAGATAAAGTAGTACCTGGAGATCCTGAAGTGTGTGGACTTTTTGATTTAAGATAAAGTAGTACCTGGAGATCCTGAAGTGTGTGCGCTTTTTGATTTAAGATAAAGTAGTACGTAGAGATCCTGAAGTGTGTGGACTTTTTGATTTAAGATAAAGTAGTACCTGTAGATCCTGAAGTGTGTGCACTTTTTGATTTAAGATAAAGTAGTACCTGGAGATCCTGAAGTGTGTGCACTTTTTGATTTAAGATAAAGTAGTACCTGGAGATCCTGAAGTGTGTGAACGTTTTGATTTAAGATAAAGTAGTACCTGGAGATCCTGAAGTGTGTGCACTTTTTGATTTAAGATAAAGTAGTACCTGGAGATCCTGAAGTGTGTGAACGTTTTGATTTAAGATAAAGTAATACCTGGAGATCCTGAAGTGTGTGCGCTTTTTGCTCTATCACCTGCAACAGCATCTCCGTAGGACTGGAACCAATTGTCCTGCTCTCGATCATGGGTATCATAGCGTCATAGCCTAACCTCTCTGCAAGGCCTTTCCAGTTTCTGGCTAGTGGACAGGAAACATCCAGTAGTACCTGAAGCCTCGTTCTGAGACATTGGGGAATCGTCCTGTTCGTTGGTACTGGAGTTATTCTTGGAACCCCTGCAGTATTTTCCGGTTCCTGTTGCACAATTTGTGCTATAATTCTTTCACTTTCATTTTCTCGGCCATCTTGCTGTACGTCTAAATACAGACTGAATTCGTACATGGAAGGATTTTCCCGCCGAAAACCTACACAGACATGTGGACAAAGGCCGTGCCAGATGCTGAGGTACTGTATGCGATTTAGTCTACTGTTAGTCTGGTCAATCATTGTCCATCCTCTGGATAAATGTCTGAAAAAATGAAAAAAATACATCCATGTTAGCCACAGATATTCTTTTAATCAGCGAAACAGTAAGAAATCTATTATTACAACACTCTTCGGTTGATCCAAAAAGGCGATTGATTGAAAATAAAGTTAACCTGTTTATAAAGACCACTGGCATGTAAAAGCTTTTTTCGACCCCCTTAAATATCTATGAATGGTCCGTTTATGAACGAAAGTGACACGAAGGGAAGTAACTCTAGTAGATTATAATGTTATCTATTTTCTCCCTCTCCCACCAAACTATGGTCAATGTTACATAACTCAATAGTAATACATAGTTAGAAATATGATAATGTCTATTTAGAAGAATGCGTGTTTATAATAACCACTTATCGACGTTAAAATGTTTACACGGTTAATCAAACTATGTACATTCTATATAGCTACATGACATTCAAGTCACTTTTCCACGCCATCTTCAAAGACCCGTATGAACAGGTTCTGGCTTGGCCAGCATGCCACGTATTCATTCATTAGAATCGTAACAGGGTTTATAACATACACATGGACTTGACGATGCTCAAAACTTATCTGATATATGATAATTACAAAATTTATTATCATGTGGCTGCTGCACCTTCCGGACTCGATTCTTTTCTTTCAATCACTTTAGATTTTCCTTAGTCGCCTCCAAGGCTTCGAAATTTAGGCCCTTAGAATCGCTGACGAGTTCTAAAAGGACGAAACAGCCGTATGATTCAGTTCGATTCATTATTTGTCTCTAGTGTATCTAAATTTAAATCATCAGGAGTTTTTCACATGTGTATTTTGTATAATTTTAAGTACCTAACGCCAGAATATCGACAGTTTACACATCAACATTTATACAAGTTTTCAGAAACTCAATCCGATTTTAATATCTCAATATTTTATTGACAGAATGGTATACTCTCCGATATTGATAAATGTACCGTCAGAATCACCAAGACTTACTTCAGGACGACGAAAACATCTTTTTCCGTTCCTTCTAATAAGAAAAGCTTTTCAGGACATATAAGCTTGCTGCCATATTTAGCCTCGTTGTTAATCGCCCACTGTAGTGCACAGTTGGTCTTGTTGAGAAAATACACCCTGATCTACAATGATACAACACGTACTTTTTAAATACAGGGCAAACAAGCCGATTTTAAGTGGACCCTGTCCGACTGGGTAGACATAAATTGCTATTAGTTGCATATATACACTTTACCTGTAATAGATATATGATGTTTTTTGGCTTGCTTAATCAAGAAATATGTACTCCGATTCTCGACCCGATCTCAACTGTTTGCAAAGTACTTACTATAAACTCGACCCTTAAGGTTATCAAAACAAGCAAGTCAATTTAAAAAAGAAACCGAAAAAAGAAAATCGACTTTCCAGAACAGACATACAATCTTTGTTGTACAGAAACCCATCTTCCGACCTTGTCACTTTTTCTATAGATCAATTTGGAATTTCATCATTTGCCAGCTGATACCTCAGGCTTTTGGTGGGCCTGTCGTATTGATAAAGTGTACATCAGGCTTATTGTGGGCCTGTCGTATTGATAAAGTGTACCTCAGGCTTATTTTGGGCCTGACGTATTGATAAATGTACATCAGGTTTATTTTGGGCCAGTCGTATTGATAAAGTGTACCTCAGGTTTATTTTGGGCCTGTCGTATTGATAAAGTGTACCTCAGGTTTATTGTGGGCCTGTCGTATTGATAAAGAGTACATCAGGTTTATTGTGGGCCTGACGTATTGATAAAGTGTACCTCAGGTTTATTTTGGGCCTGTCGTATTGATAAAGTGTACATCAGGTTTATTTTGGGTCTGTCGTATTGATAAATGTACATCAGGCTTATTTTGGGCCTGACGTATTGATAAATGTACATCAGGCTTATTTTTGGCCTGTCGTATTGATAAAGTGTACCTCAGGTTTATTTTGGGCCTGTCGTATTGATAAAGAGTACATCAGGTTTATTTTGGGTCTGTCGTATTGATAAAGTGTACCTCAGGCTTATTTTGGGCCTGACGTATTGATAAATGTACATCAGGTTTATTTTGGGCCTGTCGTATTGATAAAGTGTACCTCAGGTTTATTTTGGGCCTGTCGTATTGATAAAGAGTACATCAGGTTTATTTTGGGTCTGTCGTATTGATAAAGTGTACCTCAGGCTTATTTTTGGCCTGTCGTATTGATAAAGAGTACATCAGGTTTATTTTGGGCCTGACGTATTGATAAATGTACATCAGGCTTATTTTTGGCCTGTCGTATTGATAAAGTGTACCTCAGGTTTATTTTGGGCCTGTCGTATTGATAAATGTACATCAGGTTTATTTTGGGCCTGTCGTATTGATAAAGTGTACATCAGGTTTATCGTATTGATAAAGTGTACATCAGGTTTATTTTGGGCCTGTCGTATTGATAAAGTGTACATCAGGTTTATTTTGGGCCTGTCGTATTGATAAAGTGTACCTCAGGTTTATTTTGGGCCTGTCGTATTGATAAATGTACATCAGGTTTATTTTGGGCCTGTCGTATTGATAAAGAGTACATCAGGTTTATTTTGGGCCTGTCGTATTGATAAAGTGTACATCAGGTTTATTTTGGGCCTGTCGTATTGATAAAGTGTACATCAGGTTTATTTTGGGCCTGTCGTATTGATAAAGAGTACATCATGTTTATTTTGGGCCTGTCGTATTGATATGTACATCAGGTTTATTTTGGGCCTGTCGTATTTGATCAGGTTTATTTTGGGCCTGTCGTATTGATAAAGATGTACATCAGGTTTATTTTGGGCCTGTCGTATTGATAAAGTAGTACATCAGGTTTATTTTGGGCCTGTCGTATTGATAAAGTGTACCTCAGGTTTATTTTGGGCCTGTCGTATTGATAAAGTGTACATCAGGTTTATTTTGGGCCGTTCTTATTGTTTATGTGTACATCAGGTTTATTTTGGGCCTGTCGTATTGATAAAGTGTACATCAGGTTTATTTTGGGCCTGTCGTATTGATAAAGTGTACATCAGGTTTATTTTGGGCCTGGTTTGATTGTTCAGGTTTATTTTGGGCCTGTCGTATTGATAAAGTGTACATCAGGTTTATTTTGGGCCTGTCGTATTATTGATAAAGATGTACATCAGGTTTATTTTGGGCCTGTCGTATTGATAAAGTGTACATCAGGTTTATTTTGGGCCTGTCGTATTGATAAAGTGTACATCAGGTTTATTTTGGGCCTGTCGTATTGATAAATAGTACATCAGGTTTATTTTGGGCCTGTCGTATTGATAAAGTGTACATCAGGTTTATTTTGGGCCTGTCGTATTGATAAAGTTTATTTTGGGCCTGTCGTATTGATAAAGTGTACATCAGGTTTATTTTGGGCCTGTCGTATTGATAAAGGTTTATTTTGTACATCAGGTTTATTTTGGGCCTGTCGTATTGATAAAGTGTACATCAGGTTTAGGTATTGATTCAGGTTTATTTTGGGCCTGTCGTATTGATAAAGTGTACATCAGGTTTATTTTGGGCCTGTCGTATTGATAAAGTGTACCTCAGGTTTATTTTGGGCCTGTCGTATTGATAAAGTGTACATCAGGTTTATTTTGGGCCTGTCGTATTGATAAAGTGTACATCAGGCTTATTTTGGGCCTGTCGTATTGATAAAGTGTACATCAGGTTTATTTTGGGCCTGTCGTATTGATAAAGTGTACATCAGGTTTATTTTGGGCCTGTCGTATTGATAAAGTGTACATCAGGTTTATTTTGGGCCTGTCGTATTGATAAAGTGTACATCAGGTTTATTTTGTACATCAGGTTTATTTTGGGCCTGTCGTATTGATAAAGTGTACATCAGGTTTATTTTGGGCCTGTCGTATTGATAAAGTACATCAGGTTTACCTGTCGTATTGATAAAGTGTACATCAGGTTTATTTTGGGCCTGTCGTATTGATAAAGTGTACATCAGGTTTATTTTGGGCCTGTCGTATTGATAAAGTGTACATCAGGTTTATTTTGGGCCTGTCGTATTGATAAAGAGTACATCAGGTTTATTTTGGGCCTGTCGTATTGATAAAGTGTACATCAGGCTTATTTTGGGCCTGTCGTATTGATAAAGTGTACATCAGGTTTATTTTGGGCCTGTCGTATTGATAAATGTACATCAGGTTTATTTTGGGCCTGTCGTTTATTTTGGGCCTGTCGTATAAAGTGTACATCAGGTTTATTTTGGGCCTGTCGTATCTATAAAGTGCACATCAGGTTTATTTTGGGGATGTGTTTTTTCTATTGTGTACATCAGTTTTATTTTGGGCCTGTCGTATTGATAAAGTGTACATCAGGTTTATTTTGGGCCTGTCGTATTGATAAAGTTTCCCTCAGGTTTATTTTGGGCCTGTCGTATTGATAAAGTGTACATCAGGTTTATTTTGGGCCTGTCGTATTGATAAAGTGTACATCAGGTTTATTTTGGGCCTGTCGTATTGATAAAGTGTACATCAGGTTTATTTTGGGCCTGTCGTATTGATAAAGTGTACATCAGGTTTATTTTGGGCCTGTCGTATTGATAAAGTGTACATCAGGTTTATTTTGGGCCTGTCGTATTGATAAAGTGTACATCAGGTTTATTTTGGGCCTGTCGTATTGATAAAGTGTACCTCAGGTTTATTTTGGGCCTGTCGTATTGATAAAGTGTACATCAGGTTTATTTTGGGCCTGATTGATTGTACATCAGGTTTATTTTGGGCCTGATAAAGTGTACCTCAGGCTTATTTTGGGCCTGTCGTATTGATAAAGTGTACATCAGGTTTATTTTGGGCCTGTCGTATTGATAAAGTGTACATCAGGTTTATTTTGGGCCTGTCGTATTGATAAAGTGTACATCAGGTTTATTTTGGGCCTGTCGTATTGATAAAGTGTACCTCAGGTTTATTTTGGGCCTGTCGTATTGATAAAGTGTACATCAGGTTTATTTTGGGCCTGTCGTATTGATAAAGTGTACATCAGGCTTATTTTGGGTCTGTCGTATTGATAAAGTGTACATCAGGCTTATTTTGGGCCTGTCGTATTGATAAAGTGTACATCAGGTTTATTTTGGGCCTGTCGTATTGATAAATGTACATCAGGTTTATTTTGGGCCTGACGTATTGATAAAGTGTACCTCAGGTTTATTTTGGGCCTGTCGTATTGATAAATGTACATCAGGTTTATTTTGGGCCTGTCGTATTGATAAAGTGTACATCAGGCTTATTTTGGGCCTGTCGTATTGATAAAGTGTACCTCAGGTTTATTTTGGGCCTGTCGTATTGATAAAGTGTACATCAGGTTTATTTTGGGTCTGTCGTATTGATAAAGTGTACATCAGGTTTATTTTGGGCCTGTCGTATTGATAAAGTGTATCAGGTTTAGCCTGTCGTATTGATAAAGTGTACATCAGGTTTATTTTGGGCCTGTCGTATTGATAAAGTGTACATCAGGTTTATTTTGGGCCTGTTATGATAAAGAGTACATCAGGTTTATTTTGGGCCTGTCGTATTGATAAAGTGTACATCAGGTTTATTTTGGGCCTGTCGTATTGATAAAGAGTACATCAGGCTTATTTTGGGCCTGTCGTATTGATAAAGTGTACATCAGGCTTATTTTGGGCCTGTCGTATTGATAAAGTGTACATCAGGCTTATTTTGGGCCTGTCGTATTGATAAAGTGTACATCAGGTTTATTTTGGGCCTGTCGTATTGATAAAGTGTACATCAGGTTTATTTTGGGCCTGTCGTATTAAAAAAAAAGCTTGATGTACTCTTTATCACTCTCACAACTCCACAATTAGTCTGAGGTACCCTTAATCACTCACACAGCCCCACAATTAGTCTGGGGTACCCTTAATCACTCCCACAGCCCCACAATTAGTCTGAGGTACCCTTAATCACTCCCACAGCCCCACAATTAGTCTGAGGTACCCTTAATCACTCCCACAGCCCCACAATTAGTCTGAGGTACCCTTAATCACTCTCACAACTCCACAATTAGTCTGGGGTACCCTTAATCACTCTCACAGCCCCACAATTAGTCTGAGGTACCCTTAATCACTCTCACAACTCCACAATTAGTCTGAGGTACCCTTAATCACTCACACAGCCCCACAATTAGTCTGGGGTACCCTTAATCACTCACACAGTCCCACAATTAGTCTGAGGTACCCTTAATCACTCACACAGCCCCACAATTAGTCTGGGGTACCCTTAATCACTCCCACAGCCCCACAATTAGTCTGGGGTACCCTTAATCACTCCCACAGCCCCACAATTAGTCTGAGGTACCCTTAATCACTCCCACAGCCCCACAATTACCCTGAGGTACCCTTAATCACTCCCACAGCCCCACAATTAGTCTGGGGTACCCTTAATCACTCCCACAGCCCCACAATTAGTCTGGGGTACCCTTAATCACTCCCACAGCCCCACAATTAGTCTGGGGTACCCTTAATCACTCACACAGCCCCACAATTAGTCTGAGGTACCCTTAATCACTCCCACAGCCCCACAATTAGTCTGAGGTACCCTTAATCACTCACACAGCCCCACAATTAGTCTGAGGTACCCTTAATCACTCCCACAGCCCCACAATTAGTCTGGGGTACCCTTAATCACTCTCACAGCTCCACAATTAGTCTGAGGTACCCTTAATCACTCTCACAGCCCCACAATTAGTCTGGGGTACCCTTAATCACTCTCACAGCCCCACAATTAGTCTGGGGTACCCTTAATCACTCACACAGCCCCACAATTAGTCTGGGGTACCCTTAATCACTCCCACAGCCCCACAATTAGTCTGATGTACGATTAATCACTCTCACAGCCCCACAATTAGTCTGGGGTACCCTTAATCACTCCCACATCCCCACAATTAGTCTGGGGTACCCTTAATCACTCTCACAGCCCCACAATTAGTCTGGGGTACCCTTAATCACTCCCACATCCCCACAATTAGTCTGGGGTACCCTTAATCACTCTCACAGCCCCACAATTAGTCTGGGGTACCCTTAATCACTCTCACAGCCCCACAATTAGTCTGAGGTACCCTTTAAAAGCTTGCCAAGTCAAAAATAAGTCTGATGTACTATTTATCGTTCCGACAGGCCCAATACATACATACGTGATATTTGGCTGACCTTACTGTTGACAGAGCATGGACAATTTATAAACAAACAGGTGCGCGGATAAGTAACCGTTTGATGAATACAAGCACTTAAAAACAACTAGAATAGTAACTGTTAATCTACAAATGTGCTGATAAAACCGTCGGAATTTGTAGTAAGAAGTGTCCACATTTATATCAGCTATTTTTTGTATAATCAATAGAACTGGGGAAACACCTTCATAAACCATGGCGGCCCAGTTATGTCAATCAATCAAGATAAAACTTCTAGAAGGACAGACTTCAAAGACTATTAGAGTATACTGTAGCTACCTGATAAAATCTCAGAGAGTACCGCTACTGAAGTAACTCACGGACATAACCGCTACTGAAGTAACTCACGGACATAACCGCTACTGAAGTAACTCACGGATATAACCGCTACTGAAGTAACTCACGGATATAACCGCTACTGAAGTAACTCACGGATATAACCGCTACTGAAGTAACTCACGGATATAACCGCTACTGAAATAACTCACGGATATAACCGCTACTGAAATAACTCACGGATATAACCGCTACTGATGTAACTCACGGATATAACCGCTACTGAAGTAGCTCACGGATATAACCGCTACTGAAGTAACTCACGGATATAACCGCTACTGATGTAACTCACGGATATAACCGCTACTGAAGTAACTCACGGATATAACCGCTACTGAAGTAACTCACGGATATAACCGCTACTGAAATAACTCACGGATATAACCGCTACTGAAGTAACTCACGGATATAACCGCTACTGAAATAACTCACGGATATAACCGCTACTGAAATAACTCACGGATATAACCGCTACTGATGTAACTCACGGATATAACCGCTACTGAAGTAACTCACGGATATAACCGCTACTGAAGTAACTCACGGATATAACCGCTGCTGAAATAACTCACGGATATAACCGCTACTGAAGTAACTCACGGATATAACCGCTACTGAAATAACTCACGGATATAACCGCTACTGAAGTAACTCACGGATATAACCGCTACTGAAATAACTCACGGATATAACCGCTACTGAAGTAACTCACGGATATAACCGCTACTGAAGTAACTCACGGATATAACCGCTACTGATGTAACTCACGGATATAACCGCTACTGAAGTAACTCACGGATATAACCGCTACTGAAGTAACTCACGGATATAACCGCTACTGAAGTAACTCACGAATATAAGCGCTACAGAAGTAACTAACGGATATAACCGCTACTGAAGTAACTCACGGATATAACCGCTACTGAAGTAACTCACGGATATAACCGCTACTGAAATAACTCACGGACATAACCGCTACTGAAGTAACTCACGGACATAACCGCTACTGAAGTAACTCACGGATATAACCGCTACTGAAATAACTCACGGACATAACCGCTACTGATGTAACTCACGGATATAACCGATACTGAAGTAACTCACGGACACAACCGCTACTGATGTAACTCACGGATATAACCGCTACTGAAGTAACTCACGGATATAACCGATACTGAAGTAACTCACGGACACAACCGCTACTGAAGTAACTCACGGATATAACCGCTACTAAAGTAACTAGCGTATACAACCGCTACTAAAGTAACTCACGGACATAACCGCTACTGAAGTAACTCACGGATATAACCGCTACTAAAGTAACTCACGGACATAACCGATACTGAAGTAACTCACGGATATAACCGCTACTAAAGTAACTAGCGTATACAACCGCTACTAAAGTAACTCACGGACATAATCGCTACTGAAGTAACTCACGGATATAACCGCTACTAAAGTAACTCACGGACATAACCGCTACTGAAGTAACTCACGTATATAACCGCTACTGAAGTAACTCACGGACATAACCGCTACTGAAGTAACTCACGGATATAACCGCTACTGAAGTAACTCACTGACATAACCGCTACTGAAGTAACTCACGGATATAACCGCTACTGAAGTAACTCACGGACATAACCGCTACTGAAGTAACTCACGGACATAACCGCTACTGATGTAACTCACGGATATAACCGATACTGATGTAACTCACGGATATAACCGCTACTGAAGTAACTCACGGACACAACCGCTACTGAAGTAACTCACGGACATAACCGCTACTGAAGTAACTCACGGATATTATCACTAATGTTCATCAAGTTACGAATATTACACTGATGTTGATTCAAATCTTAAATAAAATCGCTAAAACAATGTGTTCTAGGAGTATTCGCTACATTGTAACAGTGACTGCTAATGGGTGGTGTTGGGTTACCTGTTGGTTTTCGATTCCTTGCTTAATGCCTTCAGAGAATACAGCAACCTGCAGCCACTTTCTACCCAGTTCACCTTCTGGAGGACATTGAAGACAGGTATATAATGTAAAAGTATCAATATTTAGCTGACACGTACTCGAGGTCAGTACGCATGCTTCACTTTTGCTGTTTGGCGTACACATTACTTCCCATTTTTTCTGTGAGAAAAGGTCCGTTTCACTTTTCATCACCTGAATATGTCGTGTATCAAACGAACAGTGCATATAACTTAATATACAGGGTTTGTTGAGCTTAATTCCATGCGGTCCTACAAACACAACAGGGCTCACCAGTGCCTGGTTTGGCTGCATAAACGGATTGTCAGTTAAATCCCAGTTTAATAACAGTGTGATGATTTTTGTTTCGCCTTCATTCACAGCTCCGGGAGGAACTTCAACTGAAATCCCCATATTATCCAAAACGAGGAATCCTCCATTGTACCCTATACGCCGAGTAATATACACAACCAGTTTATCTCCGACTACAGCAGTTACACTCCTGTCTACGACCTTCTTAATATTCATCCAAGCAGTACTGAAGGCCGAGTTATGACTATGAACGGAACTCAAATCCATGTCTGGTTGTCTCTCCTCATCTTGAGGGTACCGATGTTGTCTCCCCTCATCTTGAGGGCACCGAGGTTGTCTCCCCCCATCTTGAGGGTATCGAGGTTGTCTCACCTCATCTTCAGGCCACCGAGGTTGTCTCCCCTCATCTTCAGGGTACCGAGGTTGTCTCCCCTCATCATTAGGGAATCGAGGTTGTCTCCCCTCATCTTCAGGGTACCGAGGTTGTCTCCCCTCATCTCGAGGGAATCGAGGTTGTCTCCCCTCATCTTGAGAATATGGAGGTTGCATCACCTCATCTCGAGGGTTTGAATTTCGTTGGATTCCTGTGACCTCTGTTGACCTTTCGGGTTCATCAGGGACATACACGGGGTTAAAGCGAGTGTTCGCGCCAGGACGTCTTCTAGTAGTAGAAGGTTCCTCTTCCCATAACCAGTAAGGCGACTGTTGATTTGGTGATACAGCAGCGTGACCGCTACACAAGTTACAGCTCGTATGATGGTTCCTGTGTCGACAACCTTCACACCGACGATTTCCCAGTCGTTTGTATAATACTATACATAATAATATAATGATGAGTGTACAGAGAAAGGCTAGAACACCTAATACCCCTATCAGAAGGACGTCGGTCCTATCCTCTGTCATACTATCATTTTTAGCATTTCCTTGTGTACGATCATACATATCCGGCTTAACTTAGGAAGATCCTAAGCAGGAACAATGTGCTCTGAAAAAAACAAGTAAACTATGGTCAAAATGGGCCGCATATCACGCTACAACAATTTATACATCATCATTCTTTATTCCTCAAAGCTGAGAGTACAGAAAAAGAAAGTTTAAAGCGAAATGGAAATTTAGAAGAAAAAAAACGGTGCTAAAATTGGTCTTGTCATGTTGAAGTGGACAGCGTGGAGTTTAATTTCTTTCAGAATAATATTTTTAGCTTTGTATTGGAGATTACTATTTGGGCAGTCTCGAATCTGTGTCTACGCACCAAACACCAGCTTTACAGGAAGTGAACTTTTCATTGTGTTTACATGTGGTCATGTTATGAAGAATTTCCGAGTTGGAGTTTGCTGAAATGTAAGTACTTTGTTACCAGGACAGTGCTGTTGATTTTAAGATAGGTGTTTAGAAATAAATTTCTTCTGTAAAGTTGTAGTATTCGGTTGGAATTAGCAGTATTTTTCCATTTTTAGCATTTTTTCAGCTGGTAACCTTAACAGACAAATGTCAGACATCAGGGGGATTTTTTTATTTACACAAATTTCATCTCTCCACTATTGATGTAATTGTTATGTAGTTTATAATTATATATTCATGTAATGATGTATTTTTCATAACCATACTGCTATACCTGTACATCTCAAACTTGACCAATACTTTCAGGAAAAATGCAAATTAACTGTTTACTACTACTTGATAATCTTTAGTATGATCATTGGTTAAAATAATTCAGATAAACATTTGTGTGGAAAGATTCTACAAACGACACGCAAGTGAATAGAACAGACATATTTCATGTGTAAAGATTGTACAAAAGACACGCAAAAGAATAGAACAGACATATTTTTTTTATGTGTAAAGATTGTACAAAAGACACGCAAGTGAATATAACAGATATGTTTTTTATGTGTAAAGATTGTACAAAAGACACGCAAGTGAATATAACAGACATGTTTTATGTGTGGAAAGATTCTACAAACGACACGCAAAAGAATAGAACAGACATCTTTCATGTGTAAAGATTGTACAAAAGACACGCAAGTGAATATAACAGACATGTTTTATGTGTGGAAAGATTCTACAAACGACACGCAAAAGAATAGAACAGACATCTTTCATGTGTAAAGATTGTACAAAAGACACGCAAGTGAATATAACAGACATGTTTTATGTGTGGAAAGATTCTACAAACGACACGCAAGTGAATATAACAGACATATTTCATGTGTAAAGATTGTACAAAAGACACGCAAGTGAATATAACAGACATGTTTTATGTGTGTAAAGATTCTACAAACGACACGCAAGTGAATATAACAGACATGTTTTATGTGTAAAGATTGTACAAAAGACACGCAAGTGAATATAACAGACATGTTTCATGTGTAAAGATTGTACAAAAAACACGCAAGTGAATATAACAGACATGTTTCATGTGTAAAGATTGTACAAAAGACACGCAAGTGAATATAACAGACATGTTTTATGTGTGGAAAGATTCTACAAACGACACGCAAGTGAATATAACAGACATGTTTCATGTGTAAAGATTGTACAAAAGACACGCAAGTGAATATAACAGACATGTTTTATGTGTGGAAAGATTCTACAAACGACACGCAAAAGAATAGAACAGACATCTTTCATGTGTAAAGATTGTACAAAAGACACGCAAGTGAATATAACAGACATGTTTTATGTGTGGAAAGATTCTACAAACGACACGCAAGTGAATATAACAGACATATTTCATGTGTAAAGATTGTACAAAAGACACGCAAGTGAATATAACAGACATGTTTTATGTGTGGAAAGATTCTACAAAAGACACGCAAGTGAATATAACAGACATGTTTTATGTGTAAAGATTGTACAAAAGACACGCAAGTGAATATAACAGACATGTTTCATGTGTAAAGATTGTACAAAAAACACGCAAGTGAATATAACAGACATGTTTCATGTGTAAAGATTGTACAAAAGACACGCAAGTGAATATAACAGACATGTTTCATGTGTAAAGATTGTACAAAAAACACGCAAGTGAATATAACAGACATGTTTCATGTGTAAAGATTGTACAAAAGACACGCAAGTGAATATAACAGACATGTTTCATGTGTAAAGATTGTACAAAAAACACGCAAGTGAATATAACAGACATGTTTCATGTGTAAAGATTGTACAAAAAACACGCAAGTGAATATAACAGACATGTTTCATGTGTAAAGATTGTACAAAAGACACGCAAGTGAATATAACAGACATGTTTCATGTGTAAAGATTGTACAAAAGACACGCAAGTGAATATAACAGACATGTTTCATGTGTAAAGATTGTACAAAAGACACGCAAGTGAATATAACAGACATGTTTCATGTGTAAAGATTGTACAAAAGACACGCAAGTGAATATAACAGACATGTTTCATGTGTAAAGATTGTACAAAAGACACGCAAGTGAAAAGATTTAACACGTAGATACGGAATGGAACCCGGGACGGCTAGGTGATAACTGTTTCCGATAAGGGTGTGCAGTAGCCTCAATACCTCGTGTATGTATACAGCCGTACAGGAAGTGAACATGATTTTTTTCAACATTTTTGTAATTTGTCGTCTACTGAATATAGGGAAAATGAAACAGTGAGTGAGTTTTTGAAGAATTATGATTCTGATGTATCAGACGATATCATGCACGAGTTAGATGTTGATATTTCTGAAGACGAAGTTGTTAGCGTTATTGGCAAATTAAGTACTGATAAAACGTGTGGTCACGATTTGTTAATTAACGAGTTTTTTATCAAGGGTAAAGAAATTTTAATTCCATGTCTTGTAAAATTATTCAATAATGTTTTTAAATCTGGAATATATCCTTCTATTTGGTCAATAGGTAATATTGTACCTATATATAAGAAAGGAGATACAAACGATACTAATAACTACAGAGGAATTACCCTGGTAAGTTGTCTAGCCAAAATATTCACTGCAACCTTAAATAATCGATTGATGGAATTCGATACCGCTTACTCAAAAATATCTGATTCCCAATTCGGTTTTAGAAAAAAATATGTCTACAACAGATGCTATATTTAGTTTAAACTTTATTTTATTTTAAACTGTATAACATTTCAGCAATACAAACAGTTTCGAAAACAAGTACAAAGTAATTAATCCGTCTACTGAATTTACGAAGCTATATTGACTAATATTATACATTATATATTGAGCATAACATAATTAGGGAAATGAAGATTGGGAAGAAAGGGGGAGGGGGGATGCAAAGGAGTTGACAGAAAAGTTGAAGGAGTTAAAGAATGAAGCAATGCAAATATGCTGCATTAAGGGGAAAGCTGAAATCAAACTTAAATTTGGACACACATGGTTGACCGTACATGTCAAGTAAGTCTATAATACATCAGTGGTAAGTAAACACAATTTTACAAAAACGACCCGTGAAATTGGAGAATCAGTACTGTACCACAGTCAACTGTAATCTCACATAGTACAAATATCATTACACAGAACTATGACAATATGCATATAAAATTTTACATACGTAATCTACATTGAAATGCCATGCCGAACAAGTGAATGCTATATTTGTTTTACAATCATTAATTAGTAGAACTTTGAAAAATAAAAGGAAACTATACGGTTGTTTTATAGATTATAAGAAAGCGTTTGATTATGTAAATAGGCAAAATTTATGGTACAAGCTCATTAAAGAAGGTGTGGAGGGTAAAATATTATACGTGCCTTGTACAATGATATAAAATGTTGTGTTAAATCTAATGATTCTTTGTCCGATTTCTTCAGTTGTAAGAACGGATTGTTTCAAGGCGAAGTAATGTCGCCGATTTTATTTTCCTTACATATTAACGATTGTGAGATGCACTTTTTAACAGAAAATTGTCCTTCAATTGAACTTCAAACTATTAATCTATTTTTATTAATGTATGCAGATGATATGATATTATTAGCTGAATCGGCAGAAGGATTGCAAAAAATGTTGGATTCATTATTACAATATACTAATAAATGGAATTTAACTGTAAATGTTGACAAAACTAAAGTGATGGTTTTCAGAAATGGTGGTAAGTTGAAGGAGACAGATAAATGGTTTTATAATGGTAGTTTGTTAGAAAATGTTGATAGTTTTAATTATCTTGGAATAATGATGAAATTTAATGGTAAATTCAATTTGACGCAACAGAAAATAGCTGAGCAAGGAAGGAAGGCATTATTTGGTATAACAAACATTTGTAAGAAACATTATTTCAATATTGAAACTCAACTTAGCGTTTTTGACACTTTCGTATGTAGCATACTGAACTATGGATCTGAAGTTTGGGGTTTCCATAAGGCGTCAGATATAGAAAAGTTACATGTAAATTTTTGCAAGAGAATCTTAGGGGTTAAGAAAAGTACACCAAACGTAATGATATATCAAGAATTGGGCAGGTTACCTTTAAGTATAATTCGAAAATTTAGAATTTTTAAATATTGGATTAAACTAAGAAATTCAGAAAATTGTATTCTTAAGTCGTGTTATAAAGAAATGCTTGATAGGGGGAGTGAATGGACAAATAGTGTAAAGGACGAGTTATTTAAAATGGAATTAGGATATTTGTGGAACAGTAATTATTTTAGTAATGAAGCTTTTATTCTGAATGTAATTAAATGTAGGATGTGTGATGTTTTTCAGCAAGAATGTGTGGGTTTGATTGAGTTGTTTTCAAAGTGTTCATTGTATAAATTTATTAGTGGTAAATTTTGTCTGAAACAGTATTTAACAAAATCTATTGGTTCACAAAATATCAAAGAAATTGCAAAAATTAGATTATCATCGCACAAATTGTATATTGAAACCGGTAGATACAATAACGTTGAAATAATTGATAGAGTTTGCAACTTTTGTACGAGTGGCGATATTGAAGATGAGTATCACTTTATTTCAAA